GGCGAGGACGGATGGTGAAGTGTGGTCGCTCGTGTTTGAGACGTGAGTCTCCCTGAGGTGACACTGATCAGGTGGAACCAGACCCGAGCGTACGCACGCGCAACTTCACTCGTGCCGGCTCCTGTGCCGGGCAGACGGATCCGTGAGGGCAGAGTGGCAGTGACAGGGAGAGGCCACGCCGGAGTCAAAAGTCCTCTGGTTGGTGGCCACACAGTGTCCACGGATGTCGCCGGGGACACACTCGGACATGTGCGCGTGTGTAGGTGGTTCCACGTATGAACGTGTTCCACGCAGGTGCAGAGAAAGCTTTCCCGCTCGCTCAGGGCAGCACGGCGCCCCGTGAATCCACGCCCCCTTTTGCAGTGGGCATGGGTATTCCCGGTGACTGCAATGGACGGCCTCAACAGATGGCTGCCGCAGCCAGCTCAGCTAGAAGTCGCTAGAACCGAGCGTTTGCAACTTGGGTGGCGGCAGATGGCCCGCAGCTGGGGTGGGGGTTACGGAGCAGGGGAGCCACCCCGGGAGGAAGGTGGAGTGGGGGCCTGAGGCCTCGGAAGAGCTCGTCTCCTGTTTAGGGTGCGTGTTCCTGCCTTCCGGCAGGTCCGAGTTACCGGCCGTTCCCTTTCCAGGAACTCCTGGTCCAAAGCCTCACTGACGATGTAGTTATTTAGAAAGACAGAGATCTCGCGCCTGCTGGTTCAGTCCCCCGATGCCGGCGGCCGCCGGGAGCCAGGAACTCCATCCAGGTCTTCCGTGTGGGCGGCGGGGACCCAGGTACTTCTGTCACCGCCGCCTCCTGGCGTGCGCATGACCAGGAAGCTGGGTCAGAGGTAGAGTCGGGACTTGAACCCGGGGACTCCGCTATGGGCTGCAGCCTGTGTCTTAACTGCTGCGCCCAACACCCAGCCCTGCCCGTTTCTTAAAAAGATGAGCTGGTAGCATTGTTCCGTCGTCGCGTGAAAGCCCTCGTTTATTTGGGACGTCCCCCGAGCACCCCCTATGGGGGCCGCAGGGGTTCTCCCGCTGTGGCTTTATCTGTGGACCCCACAGCCGGGGCCTCCTACCCCGCCTCAGCCGACCCCGTGCCATTTCAGGCTGTTGTCACCCTGTCTTGCCCTCCACGGCGTCTGGCTTCTGTCTTGCATTCAAAGTCCCTTCTCGCTCTAGACTTTGTTCAAACGTAGTCCGTGGTTCTAGAACCTCTGGTTTCTAGCGCGCTCTGTTCTTGGCAGAGACCTGCTGGTGGGATTTGCTGACGTGGGCGGGGCTGTGTCTGCTCCCCCAGGCAGCAGGCGCAGTTCTTGGCACAGGGGGAGGGGTTGTTTGGGGTGTGGGGGGATGGAGTGAACCAACATGGGGTTCGCTTCTGTGCAAGGGGGCCCTGCAGGCTTGGTCTGCACGTCTCTCCCAGGCCAGGCACCCTCAGCTCAGCTCTGGGTGAGCCTAATGCACACTCGCAGCTTCTTCAACTCCCGATGGCCGGGCCTAGCTCCTGGGCTTGTCTGGGAAGAAGCCGTAGCAGGTGCGTTTTTCCAAGAGGCCAGCAGCGGTGTTGGCTGCACGGGAACCCCTGGAGAACAGGCTAGAACAGGTCCCGGCCCCCTCGGGGCCTCTGACATGTGAGGACCATTTGTGGCCCGAGGATCTGCATTTCCGGACTCTTCTGGGCAGTGCTGGTCCGAGGACCACACTCCGAGACCCACCGGGCTGGGGTGACAGCAGACAGCTGGGAGGCCGTCCGTGGGGGGAGGGAGGGAGCAGGTGTACTGGTGGCCCTGGTCACCTGCGTTCTCAAACCTTCCCTCCTACGTGAAGGACACCAGGTTGCGCTTGTGTCGCTTTGAGTCTGGCATTGACCTGACCATGGCGCCTGCCGTTCCTAGAAAGTTCTAGGGAGGTCGGCGCTGCGTGGTCCACGCGGCCCCTGGCTTCCTCGCCGCCTCGTGTGCCCTGAAACCCGGGGCGTGCGGAGGTCTCAGGCGGGCGTGGTGGTGCTGCCTGCATCTCTCCTTGGTCTTGCCGGCAGGCCTGGCCTGCGCCCCTCCGGGTGCCCACCCAGTGCTGCCCTCAGCTGCTGGCTGCCTGCTCCTGGGGCCCCTGTGCTCTGAGCCGGGCCCCCCTCCCCTGGGGTTTGCTGCACCTGCTGGGGGTTCTGTTGCTTCAGATCACAAGGAGCAGCTTCCCAGAACACGTGAGTCGCACGCCACCTTGCACACTCCCGTGCCCCAGGAACCCGGTCGTTACCTGGAGTGCAGGGCACCTGTGTGTTTGCTCTTCAGGCCCCCAGGGGTCTCTGTGCTGGAGGACGAGGACCCCTCCCCTTAGCCACCCAAGCCTCTCAGCTCCTTGGCACATGTCTGGGGCTGGAGCGCCCCGGGCCCCCTCACCCCTGGGGCGTCTGTTGATCCTGGGAATGGGCCCCCCCCCCGCCGTGGTCTGGACTCCCAGAGGCAGGGGAGTGGCCCCATTGATGCTTTCTTCTTGCATTTTTTCAGTTGTGGTAAAACACGCGTAATAAAACCGAGCACTTGAGCCACTTCTAAGAGTTTCCAGGCACCGAGGACTTGCACCGCCGGCCTCTCGGGGGCGTCCACCTTCCCCGGCTGAAGCCTGCCTCCTGCAATGCTGATGCCTCCCCTCTGCCAACCCCTGGGGTCCCCCAGCCCCCTTGGTGTCTGGGGGCCTGGCCCTCACGGCACCTCCGGTAAGGGGGGTCCCGGAGGCCTGGGCTCGTGCTGAGGTGGTCACTTCACTTGGCCTGAGGTCACCTTCAGGTCCATCCATGCGGCGGCCTCTTCCCGTTCAGGGCTGTGTAGTATTCCGCCGCGCGTGCACTACGCGTGTTGCCTATCCATTCATCCGTGCACGGCTTTCTCTACAAAGCTGAAACGTAGAGAAGTTATTTGCAAATGCAGATCAAGGGAGGTTTTTAGAAAGGGTGTGCACACTTTCCCGCAGGCGCGTGGAGGTTTGGCGACACACCAAGGATACAAAGACTCTGGTGTCTTTAGGACTCGGTGGGAGGCCCACCCTCGGGGAACAGCCGGGGGGGGGGGGCATGGGTCCCCAGCATGACCAGGCTGGAGGGTGGCTGGTGCTGCCTGGGTCTGCCTCCTTGTGGCTGCTGGTACTTTCTGGAACGTTTCCTGAACGCGCCTGCCGTGTGCAAGCTATAGGCACGCAGCCGCTTTTCTCTTAATCCTGAAACACCTGGGAGGCTGGGCTGCCGTGCCTGGCCCCAGCAGGATGGAGCCCAGGTCTGTGGCCCTGGCCCCTGGGCTCCTGGGCTCGCGCGCTGCACCTTCCTGCTCTGGAGTCTGAGCACGGCTCTCCCTCTCCCGTGACGGCACCCTCTCCCCGTGACGGCAGCCGAGGCTGGAGGCCTGGCCCAGCCGGCGCTGACTCCCCCTGGGTCTGCACCTCAACACGCACCAGGTCTCTCGGTCTGAGGTGGGCATCGCTGTCGCCACACGGGCATGCAGGTGGTGTGGCTGGGCTGGCTCTGGGCGGCGCTGGGGAGGGTGGGCTGAGGCCTGTGTGCGGAGTTTGTGGGGTGGCCGTGCTGAGAGCAATGGCGGGCCCTCCAGGGGGTTTCAGGCATGCATGTACGCATGTGCACACGTGCATGTGTGTTCATGTTACATGTGTGATGTGTGTATGCAAGTGTGCGTGTGCATACATGTGCCTTGTGTGTGCATGTGTGTGTGCGTGCTGGGGGGGGGCTGGCCCTACCTGTCTCAGACTTGGGTGTAGTCGTGCCCAGATGGGAGGCCCCGACCGTGAACCCCTCGGCGCTGGGCTGTCCCGGTGCCGTTTGTGGCCTTGGTCTGTGGTGTGAGCCACCGTCCAGTGCCGTATTGGAACAAGGGAGCCGGATCGTGGAAATGGGAAAAGGAGATCTGACTGTGTCCTGTGCTTCCTCCTTAAGTTGACAAAGCGTGTGGTGGCGTTGATTGAGGGAGCGCCCAGCAGACGGGATGGGCGAGCCTGGGGAGTGACCTGGGAGGGCGTGGGCACAGGGGGACCCAGCCTCGGGGGCAGCGGTGAGCAGAGCCTTGCTCAGCGCGGCGGAGGCGGCTGGCAGCTCCTCTGGGCCGGGGGCGTGGCTGGCGAGAGCAGGAGGGGGATTCGCTTTCCGCCTTCCAGCTAAAGGAAACCACTGAGCAACACCCGTGTCTCCTCGCGCTGCCCAGCAAGCTGCCGGAAACGAAGATGGTTATCAGTCCTGGTATCTGAGTACTGGGAAAAGCACCTGGAGTTCTCCTGGTGCCGAGGTCTCTGTGTTAGCTCAGCCTCTCGGAGCGTCCAGGTGTTTCGTGTGGCTTCCCTCCAGGTGTGTGGGGCTCGGCGAGGACGCCCTGCCTCCCACACAGGGCCGTGCCCTCTGCCCATGGGGCTCCTCCCTGCACCCACCTTGGTTATTTGAGATCTCCTAGAACGGGGGTGTGATACCACCTGTCGACAGCAGGAGGCGCTCTCCAAAGGTCAAGCCTCTTTCCCTAAGAATCCCTGAAGTGCAAGGTTCTGACTCCGTACAGCGCCGCCTGCTCCGTCCGCCTGGCAGGTTCCGGGTCTGTTCAGTGAGTTTGCTGCACAGCGAAGCGTCCACAGTAGCCCAGACTGGAAGCCGCCCGAGTGCCCTCCCGCAGGAGGACAGAGAAATTAGTTGCGAGGTGCTCGTGCAGGGGGCACTGGCAGCGCCCGTGGCAATTAGGGAGCCTTGCGCCTGCACCTCAGGCGTGGACCTCCCAGCAGTGAGTGGGACAATCATCACCATCTTGGTCCCATTTAAACCTGACAGCAGTGGGGGTGGGAACCACGCCCCTCAGAGCGCGGTGGCGCGGGGAGCTTGCCGGCAGTGTGAGGTCTCTCTCGGGCTACAGCGGCACGTCAGCTGCGACCGTGGGAGCTGTGCATCTCCCACGTGGCGCTTCCTGCGTGTCTTACGTCCCCAAGGTGCACCTGTTCCAAGCTCCGACTCGCCCCTCCCCTTTCTGCAGATCGATGGACACTCTGAGCTGCAAGCCGTTGAGAAGGCCGTGGTCGCCCTGCCACCCGGGGAGGCGTGCAAGTACCACCGAGAGGAGCTGGCCCGGGCGTTTGACGTGAGAATGCACACCTGCTGCCGGCGTGGCCGGGGTTGTAGGATCCGGAGGAAGCAATGCCCCGCCCTGAGGCTGCTTCACGCGTGTGCTGTGGCTTTGCTGTTGTCACCGGGAAACAGCGCTGACAGCGAAGTTTCTGATTCCCGGGGGGAATCTCCCTGCGCCGTTGTGCCTGCAGCCCCCCTCACGCCGCAGGAACCCCGCATCCACACGCGTGTGCCGTTCCTCGTGGCGAGGGCGTCGGAGCGCAGGCGCCCGCCGAGTTGGATCTGATTTCTGCATCCCACACTGGGCCATCCGCTGCCAGCGACTTCGCTTTTATGACTCCCGGCGTGGCAGTTACTGAAAATCAAATCCCCACCAATTTTTAACAATGTTTATTTTGTTTGTTTGAAAGGCAGAGTGGTGAGGCGGGGGCGGGGCCGGGGCCAGGGAGAGGGAGAGGGAGAGGGAGAGGGAGAGGGAGAGGGAGAGGGAGATCTTCCATCTGCTGGTTCACTCCTCCGATGGCCGCAACAGCCAGGGCTGGGCCAGGCTGAAGCCTGGAGCCTGGAGCTCCATCCGGGTCTCCCACATGGGTGGCATGGCCTTGCACTTGGCCATCTTCCCTGCTTCCCAGGTGCATTAGCGGGGAGCTGGGTCAGGATCGGAGCGGCTGGGACTGGAACTGGTGCCCCAGTGTGGCGCGCCAGCTCACAGGTGGCTGCTTAACCCGCTGCACCGCAACACCGGCCCTTCCAAAAAGGTTTGCAGGGAGTTTGAGTTCCCGGCAATGCAAGGGAAAAACCCCATCCCACGAAGCACCCGTGGACGGTGCCTGCTTTGATTTTAATTTACTTAGCAAGCTGGATAGGTTGACCCGTGTGTGTGTGCCAGCACATGTGTGCACACGCGTGTGGGCACTCAGAACCCTCTAGGCTTAGGAGGAGCACCAGGATCTGGGGGAAGCTGGAGTCGGTGCCTCAGGCCGGTCTTGCCTGGAGAGTCCACGGAGTTGCTGTCCGACTTGTGGGCATTCAGAGACGGGGAGGGAACGCCTTTTCCCTGCCTGGGCGATGACTTGGTCTTGCTTCCCTGTTTGAAAGAGTCCGGAAGTCAGGTCGGCGTTCCCCGGCGCCTGCCGCTGACTTGGGGAAAGCCAGAGCCGCCGGTTCCAGATGGCCCCGCGCCGGCCCCGGTCACAGTGGCAGCCGCTGCGGTTTCTCAGCCCAGGCCTGCTCCGCCCTGCGACAGCCGGCTCTGACGGGCGCCTCCACATCTTCCCCTCCTGTAAAACCCAGCCCCCCGCCTCATCCGGCCCTGAATGCCCTGGAAGTGGACTCGGACACACGCGTCCTCCTGTGGCTGTGCACGTGACGTCCTGTGCCTAGCACGGCTCGGAATCTGCCTCCTCCTCAGGGCTGAGGGCCGTCCACGGCACCGATGCCCCCCGTGCACTCCCTGCCCGGGGCTTGCCTGGCGAGGTCTCAGAGCCCCACTTTCAGTCCCTAATGGTGCAGCCCCAGCGTTGTTCTCTGTTTAATTTCTTGAGGAGCTGCTGAACTGTTTTACATCCTCAAGGCCTAAGTAAATTCGAAAGAAAGGGGCTGACATTGTGGCGTAGCGGGTGAAGCCACCGCCTGCAGTGCCGCCATCCGTATGGGTGCTGGCTTGAGTCCCGGCTGCCCCACTTCCAGTCCAGCTCCCTGCTAACGCTCCTGGGAAAACAGCGGGAGATGGCCCGTGCCTGGGCCCTGCCACTCACAAGGGAGACCCGGATAGAGCTCCAGGCTCCTGGCTTCAGCCTGGTCCAGCCTCAGCCAATCTGGCCACTGGGGAGTGACCCAGTGGATGGAAGATCTCTGACTGCCCTCCCTCCCTGCCTCCCTCTCCCTCCCTGCCTCCCCCTCCCTCCCTCCCTCTCCCTCCCTGCCTCCCTGCCTCCCCCTCTCTCTCTAACTCTGCCTTTCCAATAAGGTAATCTGGGGAGGGTGGGAAATGTGTGGTCCTGGATTCCCAGAATTCCGTACTATAGGTCCACATGGTGCGCCTCAGGCCAAGGCCGCCTTAGTGGCTGTGACTGTGTGGCCGTGGGGTCCAAGTCAGAGCTGGCTGCTCCTTTCCCTCCCCCCTGCCGCATCTGCCCCCGGGATGTGACCCTGTCGCTGATCCGCGGTGGGCGCGCCCGGTCCCCTGCAGTGGCTGCCTGAGTGGGAATTGGCTACTCGGGCGCCTGCTCCTGGCAGGTGCACCCTGAGCTCGCGCCTGCCCGTGTCCCTCCAGGTGGACTTACGCACCGGGCTGTCCGAGTCCTCAGTGACGCAGCGCAGGCTGGTCCATGGCTGGAACGAGTTTGTCGCCGACAACACTGAACCCGTGTGGAAGAAATACCTGGAGCAGGTAGGACCGCAGGTGTCGTCGTTGGCATTACCCAGCGGCTGCCAGGAAGGGCAGGGCGGCACTCGCTCTTTCAATATTGACCGAGGGTGTCCCCCGGCAGGTCCCGCCCGTGTGGGACAGGTGCACTAGGGACAAAGAGGCTGCCTCCCGCTTCCTGCCAGAGAGAGGAGCCAGGCGCCGGCCGCGTAGCACCCAGGCAATCATGGTGACTTGGGGCACTCGCCATGCGCCCGGCACATTGCTGGGTGGTCAGTCAGTGGGGAGGCGTTAACCTTGGCCGGCTCCTACTCCGCGTCTGCCCGTGAGGAGGAAGCAGGGCATGGGAACGCCTCCCGGGTGTCCCGGTGCTGCCTGGGCTCCTGATGCCAGCTGCCCTGCTCGCCTGGGTTCAGGCGAACAAGAAGTGGGTTGTGAGGATGAGTGTGGCCCGGTGCTGCCCTGGTGTCCAGACTGAGCACGTCCTGGGTGTTGGCTGCAGCCCACGCCCCAGGTCAGGCAGCAGCAGGTGACAGCGCCAGGTGGCTGACTGCAAGGCCCCCGCCTCCCTTGCACTGCCTGGGGCGCGGCGTGCTGCGGAGTGGGCAGCGGACACATCCACTGCCTGGAAGCCGTGGGGAGGAGGAGGGACGGGGCAAGTCCCGCCCACACTCAGCACCCCGCCCCCGCCCAGGCCAGTTCACATGGAGGAGTCGCTGGGCAGAATCTCCCGCATGTAGAGTGCCGCAGTTTCCTGACCTGGCCGCCATCCCTCTGTGCCTCTGGCCTGCTCCGGTCTCTAGCTGCCTTCCTGTCGACTCCTGGGGTGAACTTTGCTGATTGGCCTGTCAGGGACCCATCACCACCCTCCTGAAGCACCCTCTCTGTCCAGTCTCCCTGGTCTCCCTGTCGTCCCTACCCCCTCCCCTCGGAGCCAGCGCCCAGGGGCCCTGGCTGGCCCTGCGGCTTCCTGAAACCCAGTGTTGGGCAGAGCCAGTGGAGGCTCAGCCCTGAGGCCCAGCCCTGCCCCTCCCCCTGGATGTCCCCTCCCCCCTGCCACCCTTGGTCCTGTTGGAGCTGTTCTGGGCCTCTCTGTGTGCCGAGGGCTCTTGTCCAGCCCCCAGCCACAGCCTCCCCAGAGCGCGTTCTCTCCAGTTTCTTGTGCGCGGGGATGAGTTGGTTTGCCTGATGCCTTGTGGGTTCAGCAGGATCGGAAGGGTGCCCCTGGTGGCTGGATCTCCTGGTGCAGGTGTGGACAGGGCTCTGGTCTGTGCTGCTCGGCTGCTTCCTGGCACTCGGGCCCCTGCAGGGGCCCTGACTCTGTGGCTGGCTTGTCCCGTGATGGCTTGCCACCCACCCGCGGCGGCCTCACCATCTGCTTCCTGGGGTACCTTTAGGAATGCCACCTCACTCGGGGCCTCAGTCTCGCTCTCCACCACCCCACCCCTGCCCCACATACTGCCCCGGTTAGGGTCCCGTGGCCTGGCTGTGTGACCCCGGCGAGGAGTCAACACCCTGGAGCTCTGAGTTTCCTGACCGGCTCATGAGACCAGCAGGTGGCGCTGCTGGAAGCTGGCCCTGTGGAGGACGCTTGGCACACGGCGGTGCTTAGCCAGCGCCGGCCCCTCCCACCATCACCCCCAGTGCCTGCCCTGGGTCCTTGGTGGCGTGCAGCCGGCAGGAGCTCAGCTCAGGGCCCTGCTGACCCGGATGAGGATCTGCGGGCAAACCTGCCGGCGCCTCGCTCAGCCTTCACGCGGGAGGAGTCGGCGTCCCCGCGGCTGCAGTCGCCTCTCCCGCCTGACTCCGTGGCTGCTGTGCAGTTTGCACAGCGCCGGCCCCTGCTTAGGGTCAGGGTGCGAGCACACACACACGCACACGCACACGCACGCACGCATGCACACACATGCACGCACACACCTGCACACACACACGCACGCATGCACACACCCACGCTGCAGCGGAGACTCTGAGACGTTGTATCCTAAGCGCTTTCACACAGCAGCTCACAGACAACGCCAGGGCTGGCTGGTGGTCTCCTTGCCCGTGGGAGCCCCTGCCCTCGCCAAGAAGCCCCTGGCGTCCCTGGGCCAGCTCTGTCCTGGGGGCTCGGGTGCAGGTTTCAGGGCGGGGCTCTCCTGCAGGCCCCTGGGGTTGACACCCCCCCCCCCCCCCGTGTCTCAGACCCCCCGGGCCTGGCTTTGAGCTACGGCTCCTTCCGCAGGTGTGACAGCTCCCATCCCACCGCCTCTGGCTCCGGAAGGGCGCGGGTGGGAAATGGCCCCAGGGGACGGGCTGCTGTGCCTCGAACCCTGAGCTGGCTGCCATCCTCGTCTGACGGTGTTCACTAGTGCCTTCCGTGTGCTCGTGGCGCCCACCGACCAAGCACCTGCTGTGTGCCGGCCCCTGCACGAGCTGCTTCCCCGTCGTCAGGGCACTGAGTGCTCACAAAGGCTTGGAGAAGCTGGGGTCTCCGAGAGCTTTCAGGATGGTGGAGACGGAACTGGAACCCCGGTTCATGAGCTCCTGCCCGTGTGCCCCACGGTGAGGCCAGGACCCCGGGACAGCCATGGTCCACGTCCTTGGGAAGGTTTAGTTCCAGCCGTCAGTGGAGAGAAGTTGACAGAATCGTGGCAGATGCGTAGCTCAGAGTAGAGCCGTCTCTGGGCTGCTGGGTCTTAGAGAGCTGGAGCGATGGCTGTGGCAGAATCGGGGCCAGCGGATGAGTGCCACAGAGCGCGCCATCCATCATTGAGAGGAGTCAAACCTGGCGGTGCGGGGGATGGGGAGGGTAAGCCCCTCCATGCGTGGCACCAGCACGCCGCTCGTGTGCTGAGTTTCCTGAGCGGCGTGCGTCACGCATCTGACCACATTTCCCTCTTTGCCTTGGTTGCTGGGAAGCTCAGAGCCCCACACACAGCCCTGCTTGAACAGCTGTGACTCGTCTGTTGATACTTTGATTCCGTCCCTCATCCCGATCGGGGGTGGGCGCTCCCTGATCCTCCCTCCTCCCGTGTGCACCTCCCTTCAGTTCCCTGTCACTTGAGCCGCCAGCAGGTGTGTGTGTGAAATGAACAGGCAGATGGAGAAAACAAGGCCGTAGACCTCGTTTGTGGGAAATCTTCCTAAGGGGGAAACCCGGAGGCCCCGGGCTGCTGCGGGAGCAGGGGGTGTCCACGTTTGTGTGGTTGCAGGGGACGTGGTTTGAGGGGCTGGCGTGGCGAGAGGGAGCCCCGCCCGTGTGGGGCCAGGGCCGCCTCCCCGGCTGACCTGAGCCGGAGCGCATGGAGGTGTGGCCTGGTGGAGGGTCAGTGTCCTGGTGGGAACGGTACCAGGATGACCGTGGGAGGCGCGAGGACCCACGCCCTGCCCGTCGCCTTGCAGTTTAAGAACCCCCTGCTCCTGCTCCTGCTGGGCTCCGCCTTGGTGAGCGTCCTCACCGGGGAGTACGAGGACGCCGTGAGCATCGCCCTGGTGAGTGCCGGGGCTGCCCGCGCCTCTGCTCGCTGCTGCTGTGCCGGGAACAGAGTTCGCTGTAGGGGGAGAAAATGTAGCACAGTGGGGCCGGGACGGTGGCTCACTTGGTTAATCCTCCACCTGCGGTGCCAGCATCCCACATAGGTGCCAGCTTCTAGTCCCAGTTGCTCCTCTTCCAGTCCAGCTCCCTGCTGTGTCCCAGGAAGGCAGTGGAGGATGGACCAAGGGCTGGGGCCCTGCACCCCATGGGAGACCAGGAGGAAGCACCTGGCTCCTGGCTTTGGATCTGCGCAGCTCGCCAGCCATAGCGGCCATCTGGGGGATGGGTGGCCCAACGGAAGGAAGACCTTTCTCTCTGTCTCTCTCTCTCACTGTCCACTCTGCCTGTCAAAAAAAAAAAAAAAGAAAGAAAGAAAGAAAGAAAAGAAAATGTAGTGCTGAGACAGAAAGTCAGAAAGTGTGTCCTTGGTGATGACTGACTGGACTGGAGAGGTGGGTGGGACTGAGAGATCCTGCGTCCACCGCCTCACTCCCCAGATGCCCACAATAGCCAAGACTGGGCCAGGCCGAACCCAGGAGCTGGCAGCCCACTCTGGTCTCCCACGTGGGTGGCAGGCAGCGTCTCAGGCACGGGAGCCACCGTGAGCAGCAGCAGCCGGAAGCCAGGGTGGCGCTGGGAGCGGCGCTGCTCCAGCGTCCACCGCACACGCTTCCTGTGCCGGCCGGAGGCACAGCGCGACTGCCGCTCTCGGGGACGCCGCTGGCTTCTGCTTGGCTGCTGCACGCGGCGTTGCAGGGAGTTCCTTTCCCGCTCCCGGGACGCGGGCTCTGTGGTGCGCTGTGCACGTGCACGTAGCAGAGCCCGAGGTCCTTAATGCATCGCCCGGGGAAACCCCTGAGCACCTTTCAAGCAAGCCCCTCAGCTGGACTGCCCCCCATAAGACGGTGACGGTCTTTGGGCCGGCGTTTGGCCTCGCGGTGAAGCCACCGAGTCCCCTGGGTTTGAGTCCAGCTCCGCTGGCCGCTCCAGCTTCCTGCTATGAGCAGGCTGGGAGGCAGCGGCCATGGCTCACGCTGTGGGTGACTTGGGTGGAGTTTCCTGCTCTGAGCCGGCCCAGCCCTGGCTGCTGGGAGCACCTGGGGTGTGAACCCGCAGGGGAGCGCGCTCGGTCCTGGCTGGCTCGCTCTCTGCCTCGCAAATGAGCTCGCTGATGTGCACGATGCAGCGGAATCTCCCACACGCGTGCAAGGGTCTGACAGCCGCTTCTAAAGTCCCATCACCCCAGAAGGGAACCCCGTGCCTGTGCAACAGCAGGCGCCCCTCCCGGCAGCCCCCGGCACCCCCATGCCGCCCTCTGCCTGGGATCTGCCTGCTCTGGGAGGTACAGCACGGGGCTCCCAGGGCCCGGCTTCCTCTGAGCACCTGCCGGCACTGTGCGCCCTCCCCTGTCTCGCTGAGCCCCGTGCACAGTCCACACAGCAGGGCTCGCAGCTTCTGCTCCGGGGTGGGGGGTGGGGGTTCCGGGGCTGCCTCTGCTGAAGCCGGGTGACACTGCCTGCGAGGGGTTGAGGGCACGCGGCTGATACAGGGCCGTGTGTGCACCACACAACGCCACGTGTGCCTGCACGGAAACTGCTCAGCCGGCGCCCACACGTGCGACACTGGGGAGGGGAACCTGGGCTGGATTTCCTGCCCCGGCCTTGGCTGCTTCCAGAGTGTCTGTGCCGTGCGCTGCTTTTGCGTGGAGAAGGGAGACAGACCCTCTCACAGGTGCACCCGCCCCTCCCCAGGCCGTGCTCATCGTGGTCACTGTGGGCTTCATCCAGGTGTGTATTCCCTGAGGTCCCGGGCATGGGGGCTTTGGGGAGCGCCCGCCCAGAACCGTGTGTCTGCTGTGCTCCCGCCAGGAGTACCGGTCGGAGAAGTCCCTGGAGGAGCTGAGCAAGCTGGTCCCTCCCGAGTGCAACTGGTAAGGCGGAGCCCCGGCTCCCATGTCCTCCAGACTTGGGCCAGGGTCTGGCTGGAGGGGTGTCCTGGGCGGTGTGCACACTGGAGGGGTGTCCTGGGCAGTGCGTGTACTGGAGGGGTGTCCTGGGCGGTGCGTGTACTGGAGAGGTGTCCTGGGCAGTGCGCACACTGGAGGGGTGTCCTGGGCGGTGTGCACACTGGAGGGGTGTCCTGGGCGGTGCGTGTACTGGAGGGGTGTCCTGGGCGGTGCGTGTACTGGAGAGGTGTCCTGGGCAGTGCGCGCACTGGAGGGGTGTCCTGGGCGGTGTGCACACAGGAGTCCCGATTCCTCCTGGTCTCTGAGGGGTCGCACGGTGCTGTGAGTCCTCGGGCCGCCGCTCACCCTCTCTGGGCCCCCATTCTGTCAGCAGGGTCTACGTCAGGGCATGGGGTCAGGGGGAGCCAGAGCTTCCCGTGGGTCCTCAGAGGGTGTGCTCGGAAGAGGGGCGGAGCCAGGGGTGGCAGGGGCACAGCCCAGATCACCAGCAGGTGCCAAGAGAAAGCCGCCAGCAACGGCTGCCTGCTCTGCCCCACCAGCACCAGCTGAGGTGGTCTCCGGCCAGGCTGCCTTTCCCGAGGACGCGCTGCTTCAGATAAAGCGACGGGCGGACCCCGCGGCCGTGGCCCTCTGAGGGGCGGGAGGGCCGGCGACTCCCCGCAGTCTGCCTGAGGCGCCCCCGAGCCCGTGCTGGGCAGGGGCAGGGGCGCAGGGACAGGAAGTGCTGTCCTCACGGAATCTCAGCCTGGAGGGGCTTGTGCATGTGTATATCTGTGTGTGACTTGGTGTGCATGTGTGTGTCTCTGTGCTTGTGTGTGCATGTGTGTGTCTACATCTGTGTGTGTGTGTCTATATCTGTGTCTCTGTGTGTTATATATCTGTATATCTGTGTTCCACACAGAGGGAGGGGTCTTTGCTCCCGGTGGCTCCAGCCTTCGCCCCCTCGTGTGGCTGCACAGGTGCCCGCGCTTGGTGGCAGCCCGGGACTGGTGCAGGACTGCGCGTGCGTACACAGGTCCTGGTGCTGCTTTCTCCTCGCACACGCTGAGCCTTCGGCCGTCCTGCGGGGTCGGCACCACCGCCGCGCGCGGGCAGACAGGGAGCGTGGCCGAGGCGTTCGTAAGCAGGCGGGGACGACCGCATCCCGTCTCCAGGGCCGGCGGCTGGGTCCCGTCTGACCTGGGGAGGCCTCCACCACAGCCTGTCTTGTCTGCTAGAAGCCCCGCTGGGGAGGGAGCGGCCCCGCGCTGAGCTCCCTGGTTGGGTGGGAGGCCACAGCGCGATTGACATGGCCTGAGGAGCCCACCTGCGGCTGCAGTACCGCTCCGGGCCTCGCGGGGGCGCTGTCTGCATCGCTCGTGTCCCCCGGAGCCGCTGCGAAGGGTTTGCAGAACTGGGGCGGGCAGCACGCAGAGCCCGGCCCCGCCGCTCCCTGCCGCCCCCACCCTCTATGGGGTCGTCAGATTCTCGGCGGGAACCCGGGGAGGTTGGACCCCTGGACCAGTGGGGAAGCTTTGGCCACCTGCAGACTGGAGGTGGTTTTGGAATGCGGCAGGTGCATGAAATCCAAAACTTAAAGCCACACAAAACTCAGAATGAACAAACCTGACCCCAGCTGGCGGCACGGGGGGGCTCCTGCCTGACATTGCGGCAGGAGCTGAATGCGGAGTGTGTCTGTGACAGGAGTGCTAACAAAGGGCTAAGATAACGCAAGATGGCGCCCAGGGCCCGCTCCCGTCGCCCTGTACCCTGCTGTCCTCAGCTCGGCCGTTTAGTTCTCTGGTGGCTCCCCTCCTGGTCCCCCAATGGCTGCCGCAGCCGCAGGCGTCCCAGCCAAACCTGTAGAGAGCCTGCAGAAGACAGCGTGCGTGTGCACGGGCAGCATGAGGAGACCTTTGTCACACGCCCCCATCTCATAGGCTCGTGCTTAGGCCCATCACAGGCAGAGGGCAGGACCATGCTGGTGGTCTTCTCCGGACACGACCACTGCCTGCAGCCCGCGGCTGTGGGTTCAAGGGGGACGCCCGACCGAGGCTGTGTTCCATGGAGGAGGAAGGGAGTGTCCACTCCAGCACTGCAGAGACCCTGAGGCCGGAAGGGGCGGCGTGTGGCGTGGGGCAGTGGCAGGAGGCCAGCCCCGCCCTGCAGCGGAGCCTTGGGGTTTGGCTCCAAGGTCACAGAAATCCACCAGGGTTTGCAGTGGCCGAGGCTTGTTGTGCTCTGGGTCCTGGCCGCCCGGGCAAGGTGAATCCAAGGAGTCGGCAGGGTCGCAGAAGTCCAGCGAGCATGGACAGGCTGGCACTGAGCCTGTGCCGCTGGGCAGGGTTGAAGACAGAGGGGTCGCCTTCAGAAAGGGCGTCCCGGCCTTCCTGGGCGTTCCAGGCCTGGCAGGCTCTGTCCCCCGGCTTCCGCGGTGGCTCTGCACCCCAGGGCCGCTCACTGCCAACTCCCTTAGGGCCGTCAGAGCCACTGACCTAGGCCTGCAGAAACTTCCAGAAGGCGTACGGCCCAGCCTTGTGTGCCCAGGCCGGGGACACAGCCTAGCCCTGCTTGTCAGATGAGGCCCAGGTCGCACGCTTACCCCCAAAGTCTTGTAGAATGTGTGAGTTTACAAGTAACCCCCCTGTGACGGCACAGGGGCTTGTCGGTGACTGCGAGGAAGCAGCGTGTTTTATCTGCCCCGAGTTTATCCCAGTGCGTAAAGTGGGTGTCCGCAGGGCTGCTTTTGCCTTCCATGCCTTCCGGTGCAGCCTGAGAGAGGGGAGGCTCCAGCACCTGCTGGCACGAGACCTGGTTCCTGGAGACATCGTGTCTCTCTCCGTCGGAGACCGGATCCCTGCGGACATCCGACTCACAGAGGTGAGCAGCCGGGCGGGGCGGGGGCAGGATGTGCACACGGTGCTGGGCTCACTGCAGGTATGTGTGGGCACACACGCGTGCACACACGCATGCAAGCTTGCACACAGGTGCACACGTATGTGCACACAGTGCATGCACACGCACACATGTGTACACACAGCAGCCAGGAAGCTGGCCAGAGCGCTGGATTCACGCGTGCGGCCCTCAATCAGCATTTCGCACGTTCGTTCTCACGTTCACCGGAAGCCCAGCAGATCTGACTGTGTGATCGTGTAGAGTGGGTCGCGGCAGCCCCCCCGCCGGAGGTTCCGTGGCCCAGTTAGCCAGGTCCAGCGGGGCCATGCGTGACAGCGATCTGCTCCGTGCGCCCTTCCAAGAACGCGGCAGTGTTGCTCGGATGCTCAGCGCCGGCCGGCTGAGCCCGGTTCTCCTGCCGGATCGGTACAGAGGTGAGCCAGGCCCGCAGGTCTCTGCTGTGGTGCTCAGGTGATGGCGCGATGGGTGGAGGCGCAGAGAGACCTGGGTGTGAGGCAGAGGCGGGGGCCCGAGGGCCGGCGGCGTGCAAACCTGACATCCAAGCCCCAGTCCCGGCTGGCACGTGTCTGCCCGGCCCCCGCCTCCCAGTGTGGGGCGCGTGGACGCAGCTGTGGAGAGCCAGCTCTGGAGGACGGCTGGGCAGCCGGCCTGAGGGTCCCCAGGCCTCTGGGAGCTGGGCTCCGCCTGGTCGGGGAGGGGTGGTTCTGCAGGCCCAGGCTGCGCTCCAGGTGCCAGGCGGGTGGCTGGAGGGATGCAGGCTATGGAGGAACAGGTGGCAGTGCCCGGGCCGAGCCTCAGCCTGGGTTTGAGCCCTGGGTCCATCGCTCACTCTGTGGCCTGGAGTGGGCCACTTATCCCCTGGGTGCCACATTTGTCATCTGTAACGTGGAGGTGACAGTGCCCACGGGGAGCTAGTAAGATTAAACGGCTGCTTGTGTGCCGAGTGCTCAGAGCAGCTCCCGGCCTGGCGGGGACGGTGAGTGCCCAGTGTCACGGCCGCGGCGTGTGCAGGGCTCTGAGGATCCCCGGCTGGGGGGATCCGAGGGTGTCTCCGAGGGCGCGGCTGGGGCAGGGGCTCGCCTGGCGGGAGAGCAGTGGTGCAGCCCCGGGTCGCTCCCTTGCAGCCTGCACGGGCTTCCCGCGCCCTCGGCCTCGGTGACGCTGGTGGCGCCCCAGGTGCTGGTTGCACGCGTGTGCGGCCTCCCTCCTGTGTTCTGCAAATGCCGCTGAGTGGCTGCACCTTTGTTTGCGCCCGGGAACCCTGGTCCCGGTGAGGCTCTGGGACCAGGAGCTCCCTGTGTCCCTTCTAAAACCTCTCCAGTCCAGGAAGCAGCAGATCCGCAGGAACTCTTAAAATCATCGCCCAATGTTCCTCGTGGGGAGGTGGGCAAGCCAGGAAACATTGTTTTATCTTTCCCGGGTTCAAACAAGGGCAGAAGTTCTCAGCCAGACGCCAGCCTGGCACTGCCGTCCTGGGATACCACTCCCTACCGTTCCTGAAGTCAAAGGGGAACTGAACTGGGGCTGTCCGGGCTGCAGGGATGCTTTGTCTCGGAGCTGGGTGGCGCCGGCTGTACGCCCTGCCCAGGAGCACAGGAGGTGGCCTTGGGCCGTCTTCAGCCGGCCACCTCCTTGGCACCCCGAGAGCGTGGGTTCTGTGTCCCCCTCCTGGCCCCCCTGGCCCCTCCTCATCCTTATGTCAGGAGCCCCACTTGCCCGCTTTGCTGTTCCTCGGCCCAGGAGCACCTGTGTGGAGCCTCCGTCTCCAGCCCTTACAACCCCAGCAGGGGGCGCCGTTACTTCTCCCACGCAGCCCCTGGGGTCCCAGGGCAGTGGTGGAGGGGCCTGAACCGCGCCACCTGGCTCCGCCCTCAGCGCGGGGTTTCCCACGGCTGCCCCTTTGAGGGGCTGGACGACAAACTCACAGTTCCAGAGGTCAAGGCCAAACCCCAGCTGAGACAGAGCCCTGCTCCCCCCAGGGACTCCAGGGAGAGCCCCTTCCTGGAAGCCGCCAAGTGCACGGCTCACGGGCCAGCTTGCTGCGGCTGCCTCCGGCTGACACCTCTCTGAGCTCCTCCTCGCCCGATGAGGACCCCTGGGATTCCCCTGGGCCCCGGGAGCGTGCAGGTCACCTCCCGTCTCCCCGCCCTTGCTCGCGCGGAGACCTGCCAGCGAGTTCTGAGGACCAGGACACGGGCGTCCCGGGGTTGGGGGCAGGCAGGGTGTTTCCAGGTGTGTGGACAGACAGGCACAGAGCCCAGCCCCACGTGCAGCCCTGCGGGGCCCTCCCCGCTTCTCCGCCTGCCAGCTGCCCCCCGGCCACTCGCCTGTCCCCACTCTCCCTGCTCACTCATTCAAACACGAGCTTTTAGGCTTTAGACTCACCCAGGGCTCCAGCTGCCCCACCCCGGCCCCTCCGTGGTTAACGCCCTGCCCTCCTGCATCCGTTAGGATGCCTGGACCGGGGGTGCGTGGACCAGCAGGGATCGCTGTATGCTCCCTAAGCCCGCACGCGGGTCAGACAGCCATGGTTTTCCCTGCTCCAGGACTCCCCGGGATGGGAGCAGTCTCCCTCGGCACCTCCCACTGGGACAGCCTCTGACCCCCTCATCTCGACGACCTGGATGGTGTTGGGGTGCCCTGGCTGGGGACTTTGTAGAATGTCCCCCAAGCCCCCTCCTGTGGTCTCCCCCAGTGGCTTCTCTGGGCCCCTCCTTGTCCCCAGAGGGAGCCACGTGGGCCTCAGGGGCGGCCTGGAATGCATGTTTGCAGGGGACGCGGCCCCTCCCCCCACCCCAGGGGACTGCCCGGGAGGACGGGTGAGCTGGTGGCTGCGCACGTGTTGGAAGCTTGTGACTGAGTTTAGAAAGCTTCGTGCTCTAGAGCACCCCCAGGCCCAGTGGGAGAAACGCTGGCCCACGCTGGCCCTCTCCAGATGGGCCTGGACCCCCGTGTCCTCGTGGTTCTCGGCATGGTCTGGCCACGGGCGGCTCTGGCGTCGGCGTGTTCCCCAGGCCAGGTCTCTGCTCGGCCGCCAAGCCGTGGCACCTTCATAAGAAAGTTCCGTGCCTCCGTCTCCCTCTTTGCACGGTGAAGAAAATGCTGGCAGCTCCCACGGGGTGGGGAGCGAGGACCACGGAATGAGCCGGGGGTGAGCCCAGCCCGGGCCTGATGCTCCCGGCGCCCCCTTCTCCTGCCTGGTGGCGGCTCTGGTGCTGCACGGCCCCACATGGCCGCTCGGTGACCACACCCCGGAGGCCCAGGCGGGGCCAGCCGGCATCCCCGAGCCGGTCCACGGTGGTGAAGAGGAAGGCGTGGGTGCCGAGAGGCAGACTCCAGAGCGGCCCTGGCTGTAGTGGGGTGAATTGGGTGTAGACTGATGAGGATGCGGGAGGAAGGTGTGCGAGTGCGTGCTTCTCGAGAAGGCCCACACATCGGAAGGTGTGTTTTTTTAAAAAAAGATTTGTTTATTTATTTATTTGAAAGGCAGGGTGACAGAGGGAGACAGAGGCAGGGGTATATAGAGACACCCTCCATCTCCTGGCTCACTCCCCAGATGGCCACAATGGCTCCATCCGGGTCTCCCACGTGGGTAGCAGGGGCCATCTCCTCGGCCTTCCCGGGAGCATCAGCAGGGAGCTGGATGGGAAGTGGCGCAGCCGGGACTCGAACCGGCCCTGCGATCTGGGTCCAGTGTGGAAAGCAGCCGTTTAGCCAGCTGCACCACGGCGCTGGCCCCAGAAACCACAGTTATGACACTCGTTCCATGATGGCAACGCGGTCCTTGTTTGGTGCCCACGAAAGCTGCCGACGCCCGAGTTCTGTGGCTGAGAGCCCACGCCCGCGGTCTTCCCCCTCGCCGAGCTAGGTCACCGACCTCCTGGTGGACGAGTCCAGCTTCACCGGCGAAGCCGAGCCCTGCAGTAAGACGGACGGCCCCTTGGGGGGCGGGGGCGACCTCAGCTCCCTCAGGAACATCGTCTTCATGGGGACCCTGGTGCAGCACGGGAAGGGCCAGGTGAGCGGGGAGGGGGCTCCCGGGGGCCCAGGCTGCCGCCGCCTGCGGGCTCCCAGCCTCAGACCTCGCGCCTGTCTATGCCGAGCAGGGCGTGGTGATCGGCACGGGCGAGAAGTCTCAGTTCGGAGAAGTGTTCAAGATGATGCAGGCTGAGGAGGTGAGAGCCCGGGGTTTGAGACCTCCTAGGCCGCGGTCCCAGCCCCACCGGCCCACCCCCGTGTTTGCACGCGTGTGCGCCGTAAGCCCAGGCTGTTACTGTCAGCATTTCTCCACGTTTCCTCGAGGTACAGCCCGGGACAGCAGCACACGTGCACCTCGGGTGCGGCAGTCGGCACTCGGCCTGCTGGTGGCCCCTCACACTGAGCCGGGGTGGGGGGGCACGGCTGGGCTCTTGTCTCTCAGACCCCCCCTTCCCTTGCAGACGCCCAAGACCCCGCTTCAGAAAAGTATGGACAGGCTGGGCAAGCAGCTCACCCTCTTCTCGTTCGCCATCATTGGTGAGTGCCTGGCTTCCTGCCGGGCTGTGCGGACGGCGGGGAGCCCTGTGCTGGGGCCGCTGCTCGGCCTCGTGAGGAGCCGGCTTGGGGCCAGGAGACTCCGACAGCCACCGGGGGCTCTGAGTGAGCCCAGCTGCAGTGAGCGGCAGGCAGCCCCCACCCTGCGGAGGCTTCCCACGGGACCACATGCGCCTTGCTCCCCCCATATCCCATATGGGATGGCGGCATTGCAGGTGGCGGCTTTGCCCACTGGGCCACCACGCCGGCCCCAGCACAGAAGACCTCGGATTGACCTGGGAGAGCTGGCGTCGGCCTTGCTGCCCTGGCCCGACCTGGCCGCCACTTCCCACAGTTCCCGCCTCCTCTCGTCTCCTTCCTGGATTTATTGCCCAGTGTTTGCTGAAACATGAGGCTGAAGCTCTCTGTCCTACCCGGTCCTGGGACAGCTTGGGAAGCGGGCTCCTCGGAACCCACCCTGCTGGACATAGCTGGTGCACTCAGTCCAACAAGAGGAGCCATGCTCGCTCGCTCTCTCTGTGATGGATTGCTCATGTCTGCCGTGGACACAAGGAGGGCAGTGGCCATGCCTGGCTGTTCGTTCGCTGTGGTTGGGGCAACACTGGCGGTGCAGAGAGCCCTGCCTGCCGCGGCCGCCTCTGTGTCGTGTCTGGTCCCCGGCCTGGCTTGTACGGCCGACAAGCCAAGAACACTTCTTACTTTTTTTTAATGGCTTTTTTAAAAACCAAAGAAGGTAGTATTCACGTGAAACTTACCTGAAATTCAGGTACCAGCGTGGGTGAGCCACGTGTCCCTGTGACACGGGCCTGCCGGTAGCCGTAGCTACAGCTGCCTTTGAGCTCCAAGGCTGAGCGGCACCAGGGAGCATGGGCCCCAGAGCTGGCGCTGGACATCCACCGCGTGGGCTGGCACACAGTGGGCTGCTCACCTCTGCCGCGGGCCGCTGGGGTTGCTGGAAGGAGGCGGCGCTGTCCTAACTCTGAAACGAGAGCCTGCAGCCCAGGGTGAGAGCAGGGAGCGCCAGGCCCGTCCGCAGGCCACTTCCCTTTTACAGCCGGGGCCCTCAGGACGCCCGCGGTGTGAGCCCTGCGGCCTCAGGCTGACCAGGAGCATGGCCGAGGCAAGGCCCAGCCGCACCCCGAAGTTCCCGTGGCGACATTTCAGCACCTGCTCTGCAGGGCGCATCCCAGCCCGATCCGTCCTGGGGAGGCGCAGAGCGCTGGCCCCACTCAGCCTGGCCCCTCACAGGCGCCAGTGTGGACGGACAGGTCGTGGACTTAGGCGGACCTGTGAGCGGGCCCAGTGTCCCGCAGGGGTGAGGCCGTGGCGGGTATGGGCCCACTGCCCCGCCCCCAGTTCTCCTGGGGCCCCTCCTCTAACCTGTGTTGTCTGCATTTACGAGGTTTTCAGCCAAGATTTCATTTGACGGCTGAGTTCTGCGTTGATCACAGTATGCCAGAAAGTGAACTAACGATCAGATATTGTGGCGCCCCCTGGCTGCATACGCCTACACACGCACCCACACCCACAGGTGCCCCGCATGGCTGAGTTGCTCTTTTCTGTGTTTGTTTTTAAAGATTTATTTATCTGAGTTACAGAGAGAGGGAGAGACAGAGAGGTCTTCTATCTGTTGGTTCACTACCCAGGTGGCTGCAGTAGCCAGGACTGGGCCAAGTCGAAGCCAGAAATCTAAGTCCATACGGGTCTCCCACATGGGCACAGGGCCCAGGCACTTGGGCATCTTCCGCTGCTTTCCCAAGCACATTAGCAGGGAGCTGGATCAGAAGTGGAGCAGGTGGGACTGGACCCAGTGCCCACGTGGGATGCTGGTGTGGCCGCTGGCGGCTTTACCCCCTGTGCCACGGCAGTGGCCCCAGAGCAGATGTGCAGCCTCAGCCCCCTGCCCTCACTCTCGCTGCTTCCGACAGCATCGGCAGCCCTGGTTAAGGACTGGGAGTTACAGTTAGGACTGTGGCACTTTAAACCGCGGGACAGCCCCAGGAGGGCTGCATGGTCGTGATGCCCATTTCACAGGTGAGAACACAGAGGCCACCGGGTGGCCCCGGCACGTGTCCACAGTGCTGGGTCATCTCGTGATGACCCAACACCCAGCACATCTAGGACCACCGTTGCCTTGAGGGTCCATGTGCAACAGCTCCTGGGTGCCTGGTGTTCGGTAGACATTTGGTAAATGATTGGTGACGGAGAAAATGCAACATTTAGGAGCACACCAGGCTAAAAGGATTTGAGTGGCAGCTGTCATTGGCCTCATCAGATATCGCAGGGGGGTCCTGGTTCCACGGCAGATGGCTACAGTTTGGGAATAATACATAAACCCCAGCTGTGAACTGAACTTGGGGCCAGCGCTGTGGCGTAGTGGGCTAAGCCTCTGACTGCAGGCTCAGAATCCCCACGGGTGCTGGTTCGTGTCCCAGCTGCTCCCTGCTGTGGCCTGGGAAAGCAGAGGAAGATGGCCTAAGTGCTTGGGCCCCTGAACCTGTGTGGGAGACCCAGAGGAAGCTCCTGGCTTTGGATCAGCCAAGCTCTGGCCATTGCAGCCATTTGGGGAGTGACCCAGCGGATGGAAGACCTTTCTGTCTCTCCCTCTCTCTGTCACTCTGCCTCTCATATAAATGAAATCTTTAAAATATGTGTAAAGAAATAAGCTGAATTTGGACAAGCTTTAACCTTGCCTGGAAAGCAAGGCCAGGGTTTTTCTTACGGCTGTAGAAGCGTCTTTCCTAAGAAGGAAGGAGCAGTGGGGGGCGCCCGAGGTCGGCCATAGGCCGGTCATCCTTTCCTGCAGGGGCGTCGCCTGTCGGGGCCACGACACTGCCAGGGCCCGGCTGAGCCTCGCGTCTCCCCCAGGTCTCATCGTGCTCGTGGGCTGGTTGCAGGGGAAGCAGCTGCTCAGCGTGTTCACCATCGGGGTCAGGTAAGGGTGCGTGGCCGGGCCTCGCCCGTCACCGTCACCGCGAGCCCTCCTGCAGGGGGCGGGCGGGGGGATGGCAGAAGGCACCCGGACCACCCCCCCACAGCCGGGGGTCTGAGCGGTCAGTTACTGAATGAACAAAGGCCAGCGGCTGGGAGTCCCCTCTGCCCTGTTGGCCTGCGGGTTTGGCTCTTTCTGGCTTAGAGCCTGGACCCCCGGCGCACCTGTCCCTGCCGCCTGCTAGCTAAGTGCCACTTGCGTTAGGCCCAGCTGCACACCCTGACGCCCGGGTCATCACCTGATTGTCACTGCCGAGAGCTGCTCTCCAAACCAGGTCCCATCTGCACGAGCCAGCGCCTGGGACAGGGCTGTGTCTTGGGGGGCAGAGGGGTACAGTGCAACCCCGAAGCTGCCGTGGGAGGTGGGGGCTGGAGGATGGGCAGAGTTGAGGTCCGGGAGGTGTGAACCGGTTCTCTGTGGCGAGAGAGATGCAGGTAGAATTCAGGGCTGGCATCTGTGGGAAGTGGGGGGCAGGGCACTGGGACGAGGGTGGGACGGGAGACCCCAGTTCAGCCGGCCTGGCTCGTGGGGGCAGGCTGGCCTCCCCGTCACAGATCAGGGAGCAGAGGTGTGGGCTGACATGGCCCCCAGGCCACAGAAGGAGGGCGCTGAGGGACAGGCCCCAGGCTGCTGCAGCTGTGGGCCACGAGCGCATCTGCTGGCCGTGCACCTGTGGACTGAGCGCCCTTGACCGTCCACGTACGTCATCCCAGCACTGGCCGGCTGGCACCGGTCGCTGCTCTCGTGGGGTTCTCAGGCCAGTGAGGAAAACCCGAGAGTGCCCGCTGATGGAAGTCACTGTGCTGGGCAGGCTGACGGGCAGGAGGGGCTGTGCCCCGCAGGGGCGGCCGGGGGGGCGGGTTCTCTGAGCAGTAGGAGGCGGGGTGAAGGGAGACAGCAAAGGCATCCCAGGCGTGGGGGTGGGGACAGGAAGGTGTGGGGTGGGGACAGGAAGGTGTGGGTTGGGGACAGGAAGGCGCCGGGGTGGGACCGGAAGGCATGGGGGTGGTGCAGGAAAGGCTGGGGTGGGGACAGGAAGGTGTGGGGTGGGGACAGGAAGGTGTGGGGTGGGGACAGGAAGGTGTGGGGGTGGGGACTGGAAGATGTGGGGTGGTACGGGAAAGGCTGGGGTGGGGACATGAAAGGCTGGGGTGGGGACAGGAAGGCGTGGGGGTGGGGACTGGAAGGTGTGGGGTGGGGACAGGAAGGTGTGGGGTGGGGACAGGAAGGTGTGGGGTGGGGACAGGAAGGCATGGGGGTGGGGACAGGAAAGGCTGGGGTGGGGACTGGAAGGCGTGGGGGTGGGGACTGGAAGATGTGGGGACAGGAAGGCGTGGGGGTGGGGACAGGAAGGTGTGGGGTGGGGACAGGAAGGCATGGGGGTGGGGACATGAAAGGCTGGGGTGGGGACCGGAAGGCATGGGGGTGGTGCAGGAAAGGCTGGGGTGGGGACAGGAAGGCGTGGGGGTGGGGACTGGAAGGTGTGGGGTGGGGACAGGAAGGTGTGGGGTGGGGACAGGAAGGTGTGGGGTGGGGACAGGAAGGCGTGGGGGTGGGGACAGGAAAGGCTGGGGTGGGGACTGGAAGGCGTGGGGGTGGGGACTGGAAGATGTGGGGACAGGAAGGCGTGGGGGTGGGGACAGGAAGGTGTGGGGTGGGGACAGGAAGGCATGGGGGTGGGGACATGAAAGGCTGGGGTGGGGACAGGAAGGCGTGGGGTGGGGACAGGAAGGTGTGGGGTGGGGACAGGAAGGCGTGGGGGTGGGGACTGGAAGATGTGGGGTGGTGCAGGAAAGGCTGGGGTGGGGACAGGAAAGGCGTGGGGGTGGGGGCAGGAAGGTGTGGAGTGGGGACAGGAAGGCGTGGGTGTGGGGAGCAACCCGGACTATACTGTTACTGGAATTAAGACTTATTCTATGCATCTGCTCTCCCACAATATGGCGCTGGGAGAGAAGAAAACAGCTTCTACACAGCTGCCTCCAGTTCAGCCAATAAGCTGTAGGACTTGCTCCTGATTGGAGGAGAGCAGCGTACTCGGCGTGTGGGCAGCTGAGTTGGGATTGGTAGAGGAGGACTATAAAGGAGGAGAGAGATGGCATGCACCAGGAACATCTAAGGGGAACACCTGTGCAGCCCCCGAGAGAGCCGGCCGGTGGTATGCCGCTCCCCTGCGGAAGTGGGGAATGTGGCAGGGGGAACCGCCCTTCCACGGAGGTGGAAGGGACGGCAGCCAACCCGGGAAGAACCAGCAGCAAACCCGGGAAGGGCCGAGCAGACGAAAGAACAGTGCAGGGTCCTGTGTCGTTCCTCCACGAAGACGGGGAGCGACAATGGGGATGGGGACAGGAAAGGCTGGGGTGGGGACAGGAAGGTGTGGGGGTGGGGACAGGAATATGTAGGGGTGGGGACAGGAAGGCGTGGGGTGGGTACAGGAAAGGCTGGGGTGGGGACAGGAAGGTGTGGGGGTGGGGACAGGAATATGTAGGGGTGGGGACAGGAAGGCGTGGGGTGGGTACAGGAAAGGCTGGGGTGGGGACAGGAAGGTGTGGGGTGGGGACTGGAAGATGTGGGGTGGTACGGGAAAGGCTGGGGTGGGGACATGAAAGGCTGGGGTGGGGACAGGAAGGTGTGGGGTGGGGACAGGAAGGCGTGGGGGTGGTGCAGGAAAGGCTGGGGTGGGGACAGGAAGGCGTGGGGGCCACGCCTGGGGTCAGGGAGCAGGAGACTCCTCCTGGGGTAGGCGGTTGGAGTCGGTTGGGTTGGGCCGTTCATTCTTTCTCTCTGCCCTGGCCATGTCATTGGCACCCTCATCTCAGCATGGTGAGCCTTCCCCGAAGTCTTCAGGCTGTCCTGCCTTTTTTATTTGTTTTTTTGATTGATTGATTTGAAAGGTAGAGTCACAGAGAAAGAATTTTCCATCCAATGGTTCACTCCCCAAATGGCTACAATGGTCAGAGCTGGGCCAGGCCAAAGCCAAGAGCCTGGAACTCCACGCAGGTCTCTCAAGTGGGTGCAGGGGCCCAAGCTCTTGGGCCATTTTCCACTGCTATCCCTGATGCATTAGCACAGAGCTGGATCGGGAGTGGTGCAGCCGGGATTCGAACTGGCACCCAAATGGGATGCCAGCATTGTCAGAGGTAGCTTAACTCACTGCACTGCAGCACCAGCCCAGGGCTGTCCCACTTCTAAGACGGGCAGTGCGGGCTGGCCATTGCATCGAGGCAGAAGCAGGAGAGATGGGAGCCCTGGAAGGAAGAAGCTGGCGGACAGGCGTGGGCATTGCAGCAGGAGAGGTCAGCAGCGGCAGAGTGACCTGCACGAGGAGACCACCAGCGAGCCAGCTCTCAGCCGTGAGGGTCCCCGGGGGGAGGGCGTTAAACACACATGGCCAGCCCCTGCCTCAGGGACTCGGGGGGTGGGGTGGGTGGGCTGAGTGTGTTTCTAAGATGCTCCCAGGGCCGCTGATGGGAGCAGTGCCAGGAGCAAGCACAGCCTGAGCCCTGAGGCTGCCACAGCACAAGGTGGGCAGGAACAGAACCAGGGAGGACCCAAGGCAGGCGGACGGCCCGCTCAGGTGGGGAGAGACCCGAGAGAGGTGGACGGCTTGCTTGGGTGGGGAGGGACCTGAGACAGACCTGAGACAGACAGATGGCTCGCTCGGGTTGGGGGTGGGGGTGGAGACCCGAGACAGGTGGACGGTTTGCTCAGTTGGGGGGAGACCTGAGACAGGCGGACGGCTCACTTGGGTGGGGAGGGGCCTGAGACAGGCGGATGGCTTGCTCAGGTGGGAGGGGGGAAGAAATAGGCAGATGGCTCGCTTGGATGGGGAAGGACCTGAGACAGGTGGAAGGTTTGCTCAGGTTGGGAGGGAGCTGAGCCAGGCAGATTGTGGGGAGCAGCTCGGACTAGACTGAGTTACTGGAATTAAGACTTATTCTGTGCATCTGCTCTCCCACAATATGGCGCTGGGAGAGAAAACAGCTTCTGCACAGCTGCCTCCAGTTCAGCCAATAAACTGTAGGACTTGCTCCTGATTGGAGGAGAGCAGCGTACTCAGCGTGTGGGCAGCCGAGTTGGGATTGGCGGAGGAGGACTATAAAGGAGGAGAGAGACGGCATGCACGGGGAACATCTAAGGGGAACATCTAAGGGGAACATCTAAGGGGAACACCTAAGGGGAACACCTGTGCAGCCCCCGAGAGAGCCGGCCGGCGGTGTGCCGCTCCCCTGCGGAAGTGGGGAATGTGGCCAGGGGGAACTGCCCTTCCACGGAGGTGGAAGGGATAGTAGCCAACCCGGGAAGAACCAGCAGCAAACCCGGGGAGGGCCGAGCAGACGAAAGAACAGCACAGGGTCCTGTGTCGTTCCTCCACGAAGAGGGGGAGCGACATTATGGTGCCGTGACTCGGATATGAAGCCTAGGCAGGGCTTAGTGTCGTTCCTCCACGAAGAGGGGGAGCGACATAATGGTGCCGTGACTCGGATAGGAAACCTAGGACGGATAGGAAACTTAGGACGGATAGGAAACTTAGGAGGGAAGAAACGGGAAGAACTGGGAAAATACCGGAGAGAGAGACTAGCAAACAGCCTAGGGAAAAGCCGGACGAAAAAGGTGCCGGAGGAAGCTGTTGAAAGCCTAGGCATAGACTCAGATACGGACTACGGGGGGAAGCTGGGAGAAATCTCTAAGGTCGAAAGCGAAAGTGAAAGCTAGAACAAACAGACTCGGATGCAGACTGTGGGGAGAGGCCAGGAGAAATGAGGGAGGAGTATTGTTGGAGGAAAGCTTGGGGAAACATACTGGGTAGAGAAAAATGTTAGGGAAATTGAAGCCGCGGGGGGCAGGCCGAGGCGGAGACGAAAGCCACTTTGGGATTCTCAAGTTAGCCCGGGAATAAGGGGCGAAAAGTTGAAACCAGAAGCGGAAACGTAAGCCAGATTGGGATCCGTCTGATTAGCCCGGGGAGCAAAGGACGGGAAGCCAAATCGTGGGGCGGAGACGTGAGCTGGGTTGAATTCGCCAGGTTAGCCCGGGGAACTTAGATTGAATGCTAGTGGCGGAGACAAGCTACGCTGTGTGACTCGCGGAGGCTGCCGCGCGCAGACAGAGTGTGCGGGGCTCAAGTAGATAGGGAACGCTGGGCTAGTGCGAAGCCGTGCAGATAAGAGAGGCGCAGGCTGAAGCGGCTCAGAGCTGGAAAGCCGCCGAGAAGCAGCCTCGGGGCGGGCGCCGGGAGGCCGCGGGGATAAGAGAAACAGAAGTTTGGAAGTGGAATGAGAGAAATAGGAATGTTGGCAGACAGAAGTAAAATGGGAGAGATAGGAATGCCCGGAGATAGAGAAATAGAGAAGTAAGGCCTCCCCACAGCACGGCAATGAGAGGCTTGGATTCGGTCTGCCTGATTAGGAAGGCGGTGAGCACCTGCGGGCGGCTAGCAGCTTATGCGCCGCAGGTCACCGAAGACAGGCACGAATTAACATCAGTAAGGCCTCCCCACAATACCGCAATTAGAAGGCTTGGATTCGGTCTGCCTGATTAGTGAGGCGATGAGCACCTGCGGGCGGCTAGCAGCTTATGCGCCGCAGGTCACCGAAGATAGGCACGAATCAACACCAATAAGTCTCCCCCACAATATGGCAATGAGAAAGCTTGGATTCGGTCTGCCTGATTAAGGCGGTAAGCACCAGCAGGCGGCTCGACCAGAGTATGAGCCGCAGGTCACCGAACACAGGCACGCATCAGCGCCTAAAAACCTCCTCACAACATGGCGAAGAGAGGACCCGGATTCGGTTTGCCTGATTGATAGGACTTGTAAGAACCTATGGCAACTCTAGCAAGCAGAGCAGAGTGTGTGCCGCGGGACACCGAAGACAGGCGCGTATCAATGCCAAAAAATAAAAAGAAAGGGGGATCTGTGGGGAGCAGCTCGGACTAGACTGAGTTACTGGAATTAAGACTTATTCTATGCATCTGCTCTCCCACAATATGGGGCTGGGAGAGAAGAAAACAGCTTCTGCACAGCTGCCTCCAGTTCAGCCAATAAACTGTAGGACTTGCTCCTGATTGGAGGAGAGCAGCGTACTCGGCGTGTGGGCAGCCGAGTTAGGATTGGCGGAGGAGGACTATAAAGGAGGAGAGAGACGGCATGCACGAGGAACATCTAAGGGGAACATCTAAGGGGAACACCTGTGCAGCCCCCGAGAGAGCCGGCCGGCGGTGTGCCGCTCCCCTGTGGAGGTGGGGAATGTGGCCAGGGGGAACTGCCCTTCCACGGAGGTGGAAGGGATAGTAGCCAACCCAGGAAGAACCAGCAGCAAACCCGGGGAGGGCCGAGCAGACGAAAGAACAGCGCAGGGTCCTGTGTCGTTCCTCCACGAAGAGGGGGAGCGACATTATGGTGCCGTGACTCGGATATGAAGCCTAGGCAGGGTTTAGTGTCATTCCTCCACGAAGAGGGGGAGCGACAGCAGATGGCTTACTTGAGTGGGGGGGTGGGGGTGGCGGTAGGACCCAAGGCAGGTGTGGCAGTGCGGAGTGAACCTAGAACCTCGGGGAGGCACCCAGAGAAAGCCGAGCTCTCGGAAGCCAGAATGTGGAAAACCTCCCTGAAGTAGCGCCCGTGTTCCGCCTTGCAGCACGTGACAAGTTCCACAGGCAAGAGAGGGTTGACTGTGTGCAGAATAAAGAGTGAGACCTCCCTGCCTCCCGCCCTCCCCCATGCTAGCTGTCTCCTGTCCTGACATTCCTTTTCATCCACTCTCCCCACTTGACCCGTGTGGCGCACTTGCCCTTGAAAGAAAATATGTGCTCCGTTGAGTTGTTCCAGTTTTTGTCAGGTTAAAGTCACTCTGAAATCATGGAATCAGAAGGTGGGAATGGCAGAATGGCCAGGAAGGAGATTTTATAAAATAACTAAAATGAGGAGACTTTTCTTTTTGAAGATCTGTTTATTTGAAAGGTAGAGTTGCAAAGAGAGGGAGAGACAAAGAGGTCTTCCGTCCGCTGTTTGCTTCCCAAATGACTGCAATGGCTGAAGCCAGGAGCCAGGAGCTTCTTCCGGGTCTCCCACAAGGGTGCAGGGGCGCAAAGACTTGGCCGTCTTCCACTGCTTTCCCAGGCGCATTAGCAAGGAGCAGATCAGAAGTGGAGCAGCCGGGATTTGAACCAGGGCCCATACGGGATGCCAGTGCCGCAGGCGGCAGCTTAACACACTCTGCCACAGTGCCGGCCCCGAGAGGATTGTTCTTTTAGAAACTTTGTCCTAATTCCCTGTGACGCTGACGATGATCCGAGGGACGTTTCCTGGTCACTGGGGATCAGTTTTTACTGCTGTGAGCATAAGGAGGTGCCTGCCGGGAGGGGGCGCGTGCCCGCCTCACACCCCGCGTGTTTGCCAAGCGCATCTGGCCAGCCTGTGCCGTAAAGCCGCGCAGAGGGCCTGAAGCCGGGCACAGCCCCTTGGCCAAACTCTGTAATCTCGGCTTCTGGAGCTTGTCTCTGCGTGTCCGTGGTCCCGGAGCCAAGGCTCAGCATCTGGGCACGGGGTTTCTTCCAATTCCGAGACGTGCGATCCTGGTCACCTCTTGACTCCTCTGGGATCAGGCTGTGCTCGTGAGCGACGTGGCAGGCAAGCACGGCACTGCGGGCTACGTGGCCGTGGTTGTTGGTTGTGTTCTTTCTCAGAGCTGTGCTAAGCGGTGGCGGCTTCCCTGGCCTGCACCCCTGTCTTGGTTCATCCCGGGGGGGACAGTTACTGCATACCTACAGTGCCTGGCTGGGTGTCCGAGTGCCCAGGGGCCCCACGGGGAGCTGTGGCCAGGAAGCAGTTGTCTGAGCTGTGCCTCTACTAAAATAATCGGAGTTCGCGTGTGAGAGGTGCTGGGTTTCTGGTTCCTCTGGGTCTCCAAGGAGTGGAGCTCTCCTCTGTGCTGTGGGCGGGGCCTGGGCACAGCCCCGCCCCAGAGCCTTGTGCCGGGCAGGCTTGGTTCTCTGGGACACATCTCATGGGGCTGCCAGGGTCCCCGTCCACAGCTGGGAGTGGCCCCAGGAGCGGGGGCGGCGTGAGGCCCCTCCTCCCGGGACTTTCCTGATTGTTCTTGGACAGTGGAAGTGCCCGGTCACTTCCAGCCTCCCAAACAGGTGATCTGTAGAGAGCAGTTCTGCGCAGTGAAAACACTGGAGGTTTGGCACCCCCAGACCCGGGTGTGGCCACCGGTCAGAGGCTCGCTGGGGAGCGGGGTCCAGTGACCTCCCCCCGACCTGCCCACACCTCTCTTCCGGTCCCTGTGGCGCCGGCCAAGGTTTAGGTTCCTTTGGTTTGAGAGAGAATTTGCACGGCTCCGACTTGAAGCCCGCAGGTGGGCAGTTCTGAGTGATCCACGGCCTACACGACCGTCGGCCTACACGACGCCTTTTCTCCCTCCCTCAAGGAGAAGCCCCACCCTCTCCCGCGGCAACCCCGTCTCCGTGGCTGAGGTCGGGGTCCCACACCGGCGCTCTGGCCCCTGCTTTGTCTCACTCGGTGTCACGTCTCCAAGGCTCCTCCGTGCCGTGGCGGGTGTCCACACTTCCGTCCTTTCCACGGCCACGTGACGCGCCGCTGGCTGCATGGCCGCATGTGGCTCAGCCGTGCGCGCACTGATGGACGTTTGGGTGCCAGGAGTTTCTTTCCAGAACGTTGAAAGGCGATGTTGAGGCACAGAGATGAGCAGAGTGCAGCCCAGTGATCGCCCACATGGTGGACAGTGGTGCTGCCAGCCCCGCAGGTCAGCTCACGGCCACTCTGTGACGTCATGGGGTCACGGCCACTCTGTGTCATCACAGGGACCACGGCCACTCTTGTGACATCACAGGGGTCAGCTCGCACCCCCACCCCCGATCACTGCAGAGCGGACCCTGGGCCCCGCCACACCACGTCAGCCACGGCGAGGTCTCAGCCAGAGCTGAGAGGCAGGAGGGCCCTGCTCACCCCACCTCGTGGGATTCCTCCACCCCAGTTCCCAGCCTCGAGAGAACCTCCCTGGCTCGGCCTGGGTCACGTGTTCTCCAGGCCTGGTCACGTGTGTGTTGGGAGGGGGGTCCCGAGGTATAGGAGGAGCTGGAGGGCTGTCGCCCAGGACAGAGCGACCACGGGCAGCTGCGCCGGTTCCCTCCCTCCCTCATTTGCGTCTGCGTCTGCTTCTCACGGGAGCGTCTGAGCCGGAGACCCCCCTCCCGCTGACGTCCCTCTTTCTGGAAGTTGCTTTCGTGGGGCACAGGCCTTGTCTAACAAATGGGAACAATGGAGAGTCCACTTCCAGCAGCAAAACACGGGCGCTGGTTCCCACTGGGATGTGAATGCCTGGGGGAGGGTCTGCGGGGGGGGGGGCAGGTGCACCCCTGGTGGGTGCTGACGGGGGGGGGGGGAGGCAGGTGCACCACAGGTGGGTGCTGATGGGGGGGGCAGGTGCACCCCAGGTGGGTGCTGACGGGGGGGGGAGGCAGGTGCACCACAGGCGGGTGCTGACAGGGGAGACAGGTGCACCCCAGGTGGGTGCTCACCAGGGAGGCAGGTGCACCGCAGGTAGGTGCTCACCAGGGGGGCCGGTGTGCCGCAGGCGGGTGCTCACCGGGCAGGCAGGTGTGCCGCAGGTGGGCTGTGCCGCCTGGGAGGGGGATTCTGGGGGTGCAGCAACGTGCTTCACCCCATCGTCCCCGAGTCCATGGTCACAAGGCCTCTCTGACCTCCCCCAGCCTGGCCGTGGCAGCCATTCCTGAGGGTCTGCCCATCGTCGTGACGGTCACCCTGGTCCTGGGAGTGCTGCGGATGGCCAAGCAGAGGGTCATCGTGAAGAAGCTGCCCGTCGTGGAGACTTTGGGTAGGGCCCTGCCGAGGGGGCTGGATGGGGGTCCGGGGCCGGCAGTGGGGGTCAGCAGTGACGGCCCCCTCCCCCTCCCCCGCCAGGTTGCTGCAGCGTCATCTGCTCTGACAAGACGGGGACCCTGACAGCCAATGAGATGACCGTGACCCAGCTGGTCACCTCCGACGGGCTCCACGCCAAGGCCAGTAGCAAGCGTGTTTGTGAGGGTCAGCCCGGGGGCACCTGCAGAGCCTCTGCTTGCTGGGTGATGAGGAATTAGCTGGGTGGTTGCCCCCCCCCGTTACCTGCACAGGGCACAGGGTCCCGCTGGCTTCTGCCCCCCCCCCCGTTATCTGCACAGGGTCCCCTGGCTTCTGCCCCCCCTTTTACCTGCACAGGGCACAGGGTCCTGCTGGCTTCTGCCCCCCCCCCCCTTTTACCTGCACAGAGCACAGGGTCCCGCTGGCTTCTGCCCCCACCCCACCCCCGTTACCTGCTGGAGCTGAGCGCATGGCACAGTTGGAGTGCTCACAGCGCCCCCTCTGCTCCTGGGGTGACTTGACCGTGACCTCCCTCTGCATCCATGAGTCCTGAGTGTGGTTTTCTGTCCTGGTTGGGTTTTTTCCCCACAAAACTTTGCAGAGTGAGGGGCCAACAAGCGATGGCCGCAGGCCGGTGCTTATTTGTGGAAACTGCATCTTGTGGGCGCCCTGTGTGGACACATAGCCCGGGGCTGCTTCACTCTGCTGCTGCGGGGTTGAGTGTCACCGCCCGCAGGGGCTGCACCTGTCTGCCTGCCTTCTGGCTCTGTGAGCAAACGCTGGCCCCACCCTGCTCTGGGACTCGGCGCTCTCCTAGGCCAGGTCCCTGTGCTGCCCACGGCCGCCTGTGCTACCTGCGGTGTCCAGCTGAGTGACCTTGTTGCCGCTCACCAGCGGCCCCTGCTGGCCAGTGAGGAACCCTCTCTGGGCGACGCCTCTGATCCTCAGAGGGTGTCCCCGGGCCGCATCCCCAGGCCGGAGGTTGTGGGCCCCACGGGAAACACGGTGCTGGCTGCTGGTGACCCCGCTTCCCCCGTGTGCTCTGCAGGTCAGCGGTGTTGGGTACAGTGGCAAAGGGACCGTCTGTCTAGTACCGACCAATGAAGTACTCAAGGAATTTTCCAACATCTCCGTGGGAAGACTGGTGGAGGTAAGCGTGCAGTGCACCATGGGAGGAGATGGGGCTTCCGCCAGGGTCGCAGGGAGACTCAGTCAGTCCCCCTGGACCACCCCCAGAGTTAGGGTGTCAGCGCTGGCTCATGGCCCCTAAACAGGTGGGAGGGTGGGGGTAGGAGGGGAGCCAGGGCCCTCTGTCCTCGTCACCACCTGCTGGGGGTGCTGCCGAGTCACCTGCTCAGGAGCTGGGGGACCGTGATGGACACTTTTTGTGTGAGCTCCGCCCCCTCCACCCCATCCTGGCAGCTCACCAGGGCCCTCCCCGCTGGGCCCCGCCTCTCAGGGCCACTGCACCCTGCCCAGTGCTGTAGGTGGAGACGTGGGGGCTGGGAGAAGGGGTGTGAGTACCCGCAGCCAGGGTAGGAGGAAGCCGGGAGCCCCTGTTCTCTCACTGCCACTGCTTTTCATTTTCTGAATGTTGATGGTTAGTTGAGATGCACTCCATCCCCAGACCGCCCTTTTTGAAGTCTGCGGTTGGGAGGGGAGGTTAGCACAGTCGTCACACAGTGCAGTCAGCACTACTCTCCGACTCTGGGGGGCTCCGTCCCAGGTGGAGACCCCGCGACCCCCGCCCACACCCAGAACCCCGGCGCAGCTGCCTGCAGCCCGAGTGGGAAGTAACTCCCCGCTTCCCGCGGGCACCACGGCTGTCCCCGGTCCCTGGGCCCAGCTCGACAAGCAGGCCCAGCCTGCAGATCTGACCTTCCCCGCGCCCGGAGGGCTGCCAGCTCCCCGCGCTAACTGCACGCACTTGGAACTTCCCTCCTGCAGGCCGGCTGTGTCGCCAACAACGCCATCATCAGGGAAAACTGTGTCCTCGGGCAGCCCACGGAGGGCGCCTTGCTGGCCCTGGCCGTGAAGGTAGGGGAGCCGGGGCCTGTGCGGGGCGTGGGGAGTAGGCCGGAAGCTCCCAGCTGAGCCCGGAGGAGGGCACCCTGGGTGCTGTTCTCTGCAGGGCTCTGCCCCCTGGACCTGGGTTCCAGAGAATCCCTGGCAGGTGTGGGGGAGACAGACGAGGGCACCTGTCCTCACCTGTCCCGAGGGCCTAGCTCCTTTGGCACATCGGACGCCTTCCAGCTCTGTGGCCCTGCACCCAGGGCTGGCACCAGCAGGTGGGCGCCCCGTGGTGGGCCAGCTACGCTTACAGGAAGAAGGGGTGGGCAGACGCCAGGGCGGGGAAACGCAGGGGAGAAGGGGAGAGAGGAGGCGGGGAGGCACCTTAGGAAGCTCGGTGCCTGTCCACACTGCACCTGTTTCCGTGGCCGGCCTGGCACGGACCCTCTTTCGGCCAGGCCTGTGGGCTCCGGAACGCTGGGCTGGGGCGGGGAGCGGCTCAGCTCCCCCTGCCCGGCTCCGCCCCACCCGTCATCCCCGCTGCCCGGTGACTTGTCTCTGGCACAGCTCCCACCCCTGCCCATTCTCAAGGTCGACCGAAGCCTGGCTCGGGTGCTCGTGCTGAGTTACCTGAGCGCTGGCTAGCCCAGGGCCCGCCTCCCGCTGTGCTGTGAGCCCTGTGTCCTCTGCCCGGCCACCTCCAGCTCCCTTCACGTTCACTTCACTGTCCCCTGCCCCTGTTTGAATCAAGCCCTTGATTGAGGCCTGGATGCCACACAGCTGCACGCAGCTGGCGTTCACCTCTGGGCAGTCCTGGGGACCCTCAGGCGGAGCCATCGCCGCCAGCCAGGCCACACACAGGTTGTCACCCTGCCTGGAACCCCTGTGTGTGTGTGTGTGTGTGTGTGTGTGTGTGTGTGTGTGTGTATGTGTAACACGTGAGCGTGAGCCAGGCTCGTGTGCACTGCGCTGTCTGGCTACCTGTGGGCACCACGTGGAACAGCAGGTCTCAGGCACAGTGTGTCACTGTGACCTCAGCCCATTGGACACAGCCCCTGCCCGTCAGCCCACCCCCCGCCCCCAGACCCCAGCGTCTACCTTGTGCGTCACCTCTGCTTGCTCTGCCACTCTGCCGTCCTGGGGCCCTCACCAGACCCCGCCTCCTTCAGCCCCGCCTCCCAGAAGCAGGTGCCGGGTGGGTGGGCGGGGACAGTGGGGTCGCCCCCTCCCAAGTCCCCACAGGGCACACAGGGCGGGTGCCCCAGTGCGAGGACACAGGAGCAGTCCTTAGGGCGGCTTCCTTTGCCTCTGCTGCCTGGACCTGGGGCAGTGTGAGTGGAGCCGGCAGCCCCTGTGTGAGCGCCCCAGGCAAGCCCACTCAGCGCCCTCCCACGCCCGTGGGGCACTGCTGGCCCTGCCTCAGTCGGCACGCGGCCTGAGAGCACACTCGGAGCCCCGAGCCCTGTGTGCTGTGTGCGTCCCGGGTGTCCGTCCTGAGGGTGCTGGGCTGTACCTGTTGGGATCAGATCGGTGATGGCCGCCGTGACCGACGGGCACTGCAGTGTCTGCTTCTCGCCCATCCTCCATGGCAGAGCCAGGGCTCAGCCTGTCCCACCTCTGCCCCCCATGCTGCTGCTCCAGGGTGGCTGAGCCAGCATGCCACACACGGGGGCTTTGGGGTGACAGCACTCAATGAACCAAGGTGCTGTGGCCAGAGTCACCGTCCAGGCGTGGGCGGGGCCAAGCTCCTGTACACTCCTGGTTCTCAGGGGTGTGGCCCCAATACCCACCTCCTGCTGCAGGGCCAGGCTCAGTCTCCATGTGATGTCTCCCCCTTCCGATGCCTAGGCATTATGTTAGGGCCCCTGGCGACCCCATCGTGACCCCAGGGTGACCCCATGACCTCTGTGAAGACCAGGGCTGGGGTTGGGACTTCAGCATGCAAATGTCTACGTGGGGGCACAGCTCAGCTCCCGGCACCCCTGCAGGGCTCTGCTGGACGTGTTGTCCTACCCGCCCCCGGGAACCTCTCGTGGCAAGGTGCATGCTGTGTGCGTGCTGTGTGCATAGCACAGGTACATGTGTGTGTGTGCGTGTGCATTCCAGATACATTCTGTGTGTGTGTGCATGCTGTGTGCATAGCACAGGTACATGTGTGTGTGTGCGTGTGCATTCCACAGATACATTCTGTGTGTATGTGCGTGCTGTGTGCATAGCACAGGTATAGTTTCTGTGTGAGTGTGTGTGTGTGTATAGACTTGTTCTTGACATGCAAAGTTCTCAAAGTTCATGGAAAATTCATAGTATGAAAAAACTGCACAGATTTCAAACCATTTTTGCACTAAACAAATGCATCTCTTAAATTTTTATTTTTAAAGAATTTATTTGGAAGGCAGAGAGACAGAGATCTCCCATCCACTCGTTTACTTCCCGAATGCCTGCAGCAGCCCAGCCCAGGCCAGGTTGAGGCCGTGAGCCGGGAACTCAATCCAGGGCCCCAAATACTTGAGCCGTCACCTGCCGCCTCTTAGGGCGTGTGTTCGCAGGAAGCTGCATCGGAGGTGGAGCTGGGACTTGAACCAGGTGCTCTTGTGGGGTACAAGCATCAGCTGCTGTGCCCAGCACCTGCACCCAGCACCCTCACCCGACACCTGCACCCAGCCTCCTCACTGAGTCTTCCCTGGGCACCCTTGTCTGTATAGGAATGGTTTCTCGCTCCCTGGAGGCCGTGGACTGGGTTCGGGCCGGCGACAGTCATGGAAATGGAAGGTCTGAGCCGCTGGGCAGGTGGCCCAGGAGCTGAGAAGGAGCAGAGGCCGGGCCTGGCCAGGTGCCCGGGCTGTGGCCAGCGGGAGCCCCTCGCTGCCCCAGGGTTTCTGTAGACACCTGCCGTCTCCCCCTGCAGACAGCGCACCGCTGTGTGTCACCACGCGACTGTCAGGTTGCAGCCATGGCAGAGACCGTCACTCCGCCCCTTGCTCTTTCTGGGCGGGGCATTGAAAAACGGACGGCCTTCTGCTCCAGTGAGCCGAGTGCTTGGGTGACACCCAAGTGGGGCGCCACTGGAGACGGTGTCCGCCGTGGGAGATGTGCGTGGCCACAGACGGAGAGTGGCTTCCAGTGGCTCACGAGCGCCCGTTTCCTGACCCAGATGGACCTGGGCGACAGCAGAGACGCGTACGTGAGGAAGCAGGAGATCCCGTTCAGCTCCGAGCAGAAGTGGATGGCGGTGAGGTGCAGCGCCAAGAGCGGGGTGAGCCTGCCCCACCCCCAGGGCACGGGACCCCCCACCCCAAAACCACAGATGGCGGCCATGAGGTCTTTGACCCAGCTGGACCTGTTCTGGGCGGTTCTCAAGTTGGGATCCCTGGAACCAGACCCACAGAGTCAGAAAAGGGTGCGACCCGGCCACCTGGGTTCCTGGTGCCTGCGCTGTGGGCCCAGGTGTGGCCGGTCTGTGGCCGAGCATTCGGCTGGGTGGCTCGTGTCCCCACCATCGACCTGCCCCAGCCCGAGCTGACCTGGGGGCGCTTCCTGTGCCGCCCATGCTAAGTTCCGTCCTTGTCCTATTGGCTCAGTTACCAGTCGCATTGGGGCAGGCTCCTCCCTGCCGACAGGCGCCCGCAAGTGCTGTGAACCCTGAGCCCATGTGTGCCCCCTCACACGGGCACAGACACGCGTGTGCGTGTGGGCAGTGACTGCCGGCTGCTGTGTCCTCTCCCTGCCCTGGCCGGCTGTGGTCTCGCATCATCGGGAGCGGCCGTCGGCAGCCGCGAGACCCTGCCCCCGTGCCTCCTAGGACCAGGACGACGTGTACTTCATGAAGGGGGCCTTGGAGGAGGTGCTGGGCTCCTGCGCCGGCTACAACCACGGGGGCATCGCCCTGCCCCTGACGCCGCAGCAGCGGGCCTTCTTCCTGCAGGAGGAGACGAAGATGGCGTCGCTGGGCCTGCGCGGTCAGTGCGGCCGCGGGCAGCGGGCAGCCCACGGGGTGGGAGGGGGTGCTCAGGCAGAGCAGAGCAAGCTCGGGAGCCCCGGTCAGACAGAGCCCCTCCCCCTACGCACGCACACGCATGAGTGCTCCGCAACACCTGTTCGTCCCCTCACCTCCCCCTGCCCCACCAGGGGACCCCCAAGTCCCCAGAAACCAAGGAAGACGATGCCACTCCTGGACCCACGCTTCCCAGGGTGTCACCGTCCTCCCATTGGCACCGCGGTGACACTCACACCTCCAGGGGAGACGCAGCCACTGGGCTTCCAGATCGGCCAGCCTGCCGCAGGCTGGGCAGGGCAGCTCCCAACAGCAGCCGGCAGGCAGTGGTCCCTTCCCCAGGGTGGGGTCTCCCTGAGGCAGGGGCCCTGATTCGGTCAGTGCAGCGCCAGGTCTCTGCTAGCCTCAAGCCCCTTGGGCAGGCCCAATGGCCGCTGTGTGCCACAGAGGCAAAGTCAGGGTCAAGGTCGGAACTACAGCCGGAGTCCTCTCAGCCACCTCGCTGTCCTGGGCGATTTCTTCAGGCTCCGAGCGGCGGGCGCACGTCTGTGAGAGGTGGCGCCATGAGCGAGCCCTGGCAGTAGTAGGCGCTGTCCGCAGTCTCTCTCGGCTGCCCTGCCCGTGGGGCCCGGCTCCCGTACCCGGAGTGGGCGGTGCTGGGTTCTCCCCTGCTCAGCAGCCCGCAGGAGGGATCTCCACGACCCCTCGTGGCCCAGGAAGGTGGCGCCCAGGAGGACGTGGGCTCCCCCCAGCTGGCCCACTGACCCCTGCTTGGGTCCCGGTCTCTCCGCAGTGCTGGCCCTGGCCTCTGGGCCCGAGCTGGGGGCTCTGACGTTCCTGGGTCTCGTGGGCATCATCGACCCCCCGAGAGCCGGCGTGAAGGAGGCGGTGCAGGCGCTGTCCGCCTCGGGCGTGGCGGTGACCATGATCACGGGGGACGCGCTGGAGACAGCCCTGGCAGTAGGTAGGCAGGGCGTGGGCGGGGCTGAGCCCAACACACACACACCAGGGAGCTGCTACAGCCTTCGGGGCCGGGTGAGCCGGGCCGGAGCGCTGACACAGGATTCTGAGATTCAAACCCAGACCGCATCCCACCTCCCGGGGGGCTTTGTTCCCCACAGGGGCGGTGTTCTCTGCAGCCAGTGTCAGGGGTGATGCTGGCACGTGGCGGGGTGGGTGGGGCAGGCCTGGGGACCACCATCTCCACCCAGGGGTGGCCTCAGACCTGCTTCTCCCCAAAGGCAGGAACATCGGGCTGTGCGGTGAGAAGCCACAAGCCATGTCCGGTGAGGAGGTGGCTGGCACGGAGCTGGGCGAGCTGGCCGAGCGCATCCGGCAGGTGCGGCTCCCGGGGCGGGGCTGGGGTGGGGCGGGGCGGGGGCTCCGGCGCCGACCCTCTGACCCTGCCCCTCCTGTGTCCCTGTGTCCAGGTGTCTGTGTTCTTCAGGACCGGCCCGAAGCACAAACTCAAGATCATCAAGGTGCGTGGGGGAGGCAGGCGCGCCCTGGACGCCGTGGCCGGCAGCTCCATCCTGGTCTAGGTCACGGGCGTGGCTCCCAGGGTCCCCTTCCACCACGTTGGCAGGAGGCTGAGCAGGGCGGGGCGGGAGCTGCACGGGCCTCTTGGCCCGTACCCCGCTGGCCGGAACATTGGCCACGGCCCTCTGTAGCTGTGGGGGGTGCCGGTAAGGCGACCGGGGCCCTGTGAAGAGGGGGAGACTGTGACTGCGGCCCCTGCCCATTGAAAACGAGGGACAGGAACGGAGAATGGCACACAGCAGCCGAGCCGCCAGCCGAGTGCTCCCAGTGTTGTTATTGAACTCCCTGCCTCAGCTTCCCCATCTGTGAAATGGGGGTCCTCCTAACGACAGCCGCTCACCCACAAGGCTGGAGGGAGGACCCCAGGCTTGCATGGCACCTGGTACACGGCTGGGGCCAAGAGCCCCTGTGGGGGTGCGTGCCCACGTGCCGGCTGTGCCAGAGTCGGCATCTACACACACTACCTTTTATAAACTGTTGGTGTTTGTTGGGCACTGCCCTGTTCCGGGACGCTCACGGAGGGCAGCGGCCACCACTCGGCCGCTCCTGTGCGCAGGGCCTCAGTGGCCCAGTACTGTAGGCACTGCTCTCCCACTTCTCAGATGAGGAGACTGAGGGGAGCAGCTCGAGGGCTTACCGGTCCCGCTCGTGCGGCTGGAGCTGGGGTTCTGCCGGGGCTGGCTGAGTCTGGCGTCCTCTGGATGGAGCCCCCCACGCTCGGCCACTCCGCCTCTCCCCGCGCAGGCCCTGCAGGAGTCAGGGGCCGTCGTGGCCATGACGGGCGACGGCGTGAACGACGCGGTGGCCCTGAAGTCGGCCGACATCGGGATCGCCATGGGGAGGACGGGGACAGACGTGAGCAAGGAGGCCGCCAGCATGGTCCTGGTGGACGACGACTTCTCGGCCATCCTGTGAGTGCCCCCGCGGGCCACGCGGGCTCCTGCCGGGACAGTCCCGCGTCGTCCCCGGCCAGCTGCAGGCCGAGACGCGTCTCAGGACAGGGCCGTCCCACCCCAGGACGAGCCGCCCTTGACAGACGCTTGCCGCTCCGCGGTGGGACCTTTAGTTTTATGTACATGAAGGAGGAACAGGGAGGAGGAGCGAGCGAGCGCTTCCGTCCCCTGGGTCACTCCTCAGTCGGCCGCCACGGCCAGGATGAATGCAGGACCCCCCCCCCAGCTCTCGGTGTGGGTGCAGCGGCCCAAGCGCTTGAGCACTGCCTCCCAGGTGCACTAGCAGGGAGCTGGACGGGAAGTGGAGCAGCGGGGACTCGAACTGGCGCCGATACAGACACCCGCATCACCAGGAGGGGCTTAACCTGCCTGCTGCCTCCGTCCCACCACAGGGGTTTTTGACGCATTTTTAGTGCAAGCAGGGGGCAGGGCCGAGAAGGTTCTGCACGGGGCCCCCAGGGCAGGGATGCTAACTGGGGAGGGGGATCTGCAGAAATCCTGGAGACCCCGGCAGGCGAGGTTTCTCAGCCCCGCTGCGCTGCCCGCTGCTGGCCACGGGGCTGTTCTGAGCTCACAGGAGTGGCGGCCAGGGTCCGGTTGCAGGCAGGACCGGGGCCCAGCCCCAGCCGCCGACAGCGTGGGGACAGCAGGGGCGTCCAGGCCCAGCCCGCGTGTCCCCTCTCGCGCAGGAACGCGGTGGAAGAAGGCAAGGGCATCTTCCATAACGTCAAGAACTTCGTGCGGTTCCAGCTGAGCACGTGAGTCCACCACGCGCCTGCTGTCCCCGGGCCCCGGCCGGCCGGCGGCGCTGACCGGTCCCCGTGTCCGCCCGGCAGGAGCATCTCCGCCCTCAGCCTCATCACCCTGTCCACGGTCTTCAACCTGCCCAGCCCCCTCAACGCCATGCAGATCCTGTGGGTCAACATCATCATGGACGGGCCGCCGGCCCAGAGGTGAGGCCCACCCAGGTCCCCAGGGGCAGTGAAGGGGGGCCAGCACCCTAGGCTCCAGCAAGGCTCATTCCTGCTCTGTACTCACGTCTCTGCTTCCGAGAAGTCCTCCCTGATCACCCCCAGAGCAGCCTGCTCACGCCCCTGCTTTGTTTCTCTGGAGGGAAACTGATCCTAACCCTTAGTCTGCCCTCGGCTGCACAGAGTTAGGCACTGGTTTGTTCTCTGCTGTCCCCTGGCTCCTAGGATGGTCCTACAGGGGACCAGGCTGCGTGGATGTCACAGCAGGGGGCTTCAGGCGAGCCCAGGGGTGCAGGACCAAGCACGGGCTTCAGGGGCAGCAGCGAGACCGAGGGAGGCACGCGCTGAGCTCAGTGTGCGGCGTGTGCAGTGGGGCTGCCCAGGGAGCACATGTCACCCCCTCTTACAGGCACCTGTGGGAGGGGTCTCGGCTGTACCGTGCACAGGGGCGGGCAGAGCCCAGTCCTGATTCTCTGGGCCACCAGGGTGAGGCCAGCCCCAGCCAGGGCCCCCCTGTGGCAGGTGCCTGAGGAGGACCCAGGGTGGCAGCCGCAGGGGTGGCCTCTCCCACCACCCGCCTTGGTCTGAGCAGCCTGGGGGTGGAGCCCGTGGACAAGGACGCGCTCAGGCAGCCTCCACGCCGCGTGCAGGACACCATCCTGGGCCGCGCCCTGCTCCTGCGGATCCTGCTGTCGGCCGCCGTCATCATCAGCGGGACTCTCTTCGTCTTCTGGAAGGAGGTGAGCGCCGGGTGCTCGGGGAACGGGTTCCGGGCACCGCGGGCGGAGGGGGTGCAGCAGCAGATGCCGGGGCCAGGGTGTCCCTGCCCACCCCCGGGGCTGACCCTGCGGGGAGCTGGAGCTGCAGGCAGAGGCGAGGCGGGCCGGGGAGCTGGAGCGGAGATGGGCTGCTCTCCAGGGCCACGGCTCCAGGAGCCTCGGGCCGAGCTGGGAAAGGAGGCACCTGCTCCCCCCAGCGCCAGCAGAGACGCTCCCTCGGGGCCAAGGCCCCGCTTGGCCCCATCTGTGCGCTCAGCCGCAGACCAGCCTCGTCCCACCCGCTGTCCCCCATGGTCGCCCACCAGCTTGTAAGAAGTGCAGCTGCTTAGGCCCCTCCCCTGCCCCGAGTCAGACTGCGTGAGCCCACACGTGGGGCACTTGGGCCCTGCAGCTGGGCTCAATGTGGGGGACAACAGCCCAGACCCCTCCCTGTGAGCCCCTCACCCCTGCCTCTGCGGCAGCAACCCCGCCGGGGCTGCTCTCTGTGTGCCCACCAAAGCCACGGCCGCTGCCCCAGCCTCCGTCTTCCCTGCAGGAGGTGGCACCAGGTCACCTCCCAGGGGCTGCTTTCTGCCGGAGGAGGGGCCTCTCCTGGACTGTGTGCCCACAGCGCTGGGGCTGCCTTGTCCCAGGCGCCAGGGCCTCGGGGGGCAGCCAAGCAGCACGTGGCCAGGGAGCACTTCCAGCTGGCCTGTGTGCTTTGAAGGCTGCGAGAGGGAGAGAGCCGAGAGCCTTCTTCCATCTGGATAACCCCAGGCAGAAGCCAGAACCGGGACCTCCACGCAGGGCTCCCCCACGGGCGGCAGGGACCAGTCCTGCAGTGCCCACTTCCTCTCCGGGGCGGCCTGAGCAGGAAGCTCAGGACCGGAACCCAGACATTGGACAGGGGACACAGGGGTCGACAGCGGCAGCAGCCACTGTGCCGCACACTCACCCGGAAGGAAGCCTTTAAAAAAAAAAGTATTTATTTGAAAACCACAATTGGAGAGGGCTTCCATCCACTGAACGACTCCCTGATGGTCGCAACCAGCCAGGCTGGGCCAGGCAGGAGCCAGGAGCTGCATCTGGGTCTCCCACGTGGGTGCAGGCGCCCAAGCACTGGGGGCATCTGCTGCTGCTGTCCCCGGCGCATTAGCAGGGAGCTGGATCAGAAGGGGAGCAGCTGGGACCTGAACCAGTGCCCCTCTGGGATGCCGGCACTGAAGGCGGCAGCTTTACCTGCTTATGCCACAGCCCTGGCCCTGGAAGGAAGCTTTTAACATCAGTTCCTCTCGGCCCCTCGTCTGGCCCGTTGGGGGGGGGAGCCCATACCACAGCTGCCCCTGCAGGCTGACCAGGAACTGCAGGTAGGGGCAGCCGCGGTGCGCCCTCACCTGGCAGTGCGCTGTGTTGCAGGTCCCTGCGGACGGAGCCAGCACCCCCCGCACCACGACCATGACTTTCACCTGCTTCGTGTTCTTCGACCTCTTCAACGCCTTGACTTGCCGCTCCCAGGTGAGACGGCTGCCCCAGCCTGGCCCACCCTGCGCGCTGGGTCAGACACAGACTGGCGGCAGCCCCCACCCCACCCCCCGCTTCTCCTCCCCGCAGACCAAGCTGGTCCTTGAGCTCGGCTTCCTCCGGAACCGCATGTTCCTCTACTCGGTGCTCGGCTCCACCCTGGGGCAGCTGGCCGTGATCTACGTCCCGCCGCTGCAGCGGGTCTTCCAGACCGAGAACCTGGGGGCGCTCGGTGAGCAGAGGGGGGCAGAGTCTGACCCGCGGGGAGCTCAGGGCGAGCCCCAACCCTGCTCCTGGTCAGGGAGCTCTGAGGCTGCAGACACAGTGCGCTTGCCCTCCTGGCCAGAGCAGGCACGGTCAGCTCTCTGTGCGCCGAGGTGGACACTGGTGAATAGCTCCCACCAGCCCTGCGTTCAGCGGTGCCCCCGTCGGGCGGGCGGGCGGGCAGGCAGCAGCTTCCCAAGTCTCAAGTGCCTGAGCTTGATGGACCCGTCCAGGGAGCAGTGATGCCCCCACTGCCGCCACGGGAGGGACAGGGCGGACCCCAGGAATTAACCCTGGGCACTGGCCAGGCAGGGCTGGGAGCCTGAAGCCGTGGAGGGTGGGGTGCACGGTGCTGGGCCCTGGGACGACCCCCGGAGACAGGCGCTCAGCGGGGGCACAGCTCCCCTCTGTGGCCAGTGCGGGCCCTGAGCCACCCGAGTTTGCTTCTGAAGCCGTGGGCTCCCGGCTGGACGGCCCTCTGCCCCGCCGGGGGAGGCAGCAGGGCTGGTCCTCCGCTCCCGGGAGCCCCGTGTCCCGCCGCCTGTGGCTTCCTTGGGACAAGGCGGAGGGAAACGAGCGTCACAGTGCGTGTGGGCTCCAGGGCGCTGCAGGCTGGCCCGGGGGGCGTGGCACGCTGACCCGCTTCTCTGCCCCCTTTCGGCAGATCTGCTGCTTTTAGCGGGCTTGGCCTCGTCCGTGTTCATCGTGTCGGAGCTCCTCAAACTGTGTGAAAGGTACTTCTCGGCGGCCAGGAAGGGCCCCAGGGACGCCGAGGACGGCAGCCCGCAGCCGGGCCCCTAGCTCGTCACGCCCCCTGCCGGCTCCGGGACCGACCGGGGGCAGAGCCGCCCTCCCACGCTGCGCCGCTTGTTAAGTCACTGGGAGTTCTGAGAACTGCGTCCACCCCCCTCTCGTGTACACTGCCCACTCATGCCCAGGCAGGAAGCAGCCACCACGTCCCATGGTGGAACAGGGCTGCCCTGACAGGAAGACCCCGCGGGGCATGTCTGAACCGTTTCACCCAGAGGAAAAGCCAGAAGCAATCGATCAACCCAGAAACAGAGGCAGATGGAAACCCATCAAGAGCGAGAGAGGAGCCGGAACATCGTCACCTGGGGCGGGGCTCAGTCCAGGAAAAGCCAGGAGAGAGGAAGGACCTGCTCGGAATGACGGGAGACACTGTCCCCTTCCCTGCCCCCAGGGCAGCCGCCATCACAACACCCACCTGCCTTGCACAGCTGGTTCTCGGAAAACCACACCCACCAGGTGCACTGTGGCCCTGCCAAGCCGAGACCGGAAAGGGGGTCGCCCAAGGCAGGCAGCCCCACCCAGCCTTCCTACAAACGTCTGAGCCAAGAACCAAGGGGAGGGGATGCGTTCAGACCAAGCTGGACAAAAACAGCCCCCGGCCCGGGACCCCTGGTGACCGTCAGTATGAAACTCTGAGTGTCAGATCTGGCCCTGGTCACACGGGGAAGCCGGCCGGGCCTGGGACCGGGCGCCACTCGCTGTCTGGAGAAGGGAAACCATGGGCTGCAGGGAAGGCGCTGGGGACCCCCCCCCCCCGCCCGCAGGCCCGGGAGGCACAGCCGCGGCCTCTGCCTGAGAGACTCCTGCCCTCCCTGCTGGAGGTGGCCCCCACCCGAGACCCCCGTTCCGCGTCGGCCGGGGTGCCCTCAGTAGAGCCATTCGGCAGCGGACGCGCCTGCCTCCACAGCGAGTCCCACAGCTCCTCCAGCGGAACAGAACAGGCGAGGGCAGACGGCCACGGAGCCCACGGGTGACAGGCCACGGCAGCACTTCCCCACCCCGCAAGGAACTCCCACGGTCAGGTGGAAAACTGGAGCCATCTCCTAAGAACCAAAAAATATTCAAACACGGAGGTAGAAACCATGCAGGGTTCGTGGGCTGAAAACCACCCGCTGCCGGTTTGAAACCTGGAAGACAAACAGAGGGGCAGCTGGGGTCAGGAACGGGAGGACGTGACCTCCCCGCACTGGCCCGCGGGCGGGACACAGCCAGCATCAACGTCCCGCACGGCTCTGTGCGGCCTCGGATGAGCTTGTTCTGAAACGTGGCTGGTTGCACGGAGAAACCGAGATAGCTCAAACAGTCGTGCCCGGAGGAATGGAACCCAGCGTCACAGCGTTCTTACAAGCAGGGTGACGGGGGCGCAGGCGCTGGCGACACGAGGAGCCGTGGCAGAGGACGGAGTCCAGCAGAGGCTCCCGCACACGCCCGCAGACGGCCGACAAACACCCAGAAGCGACTCAGGCAAAGACAGATGCTCAGCCAACAGAGCGGGAGCAAGAGGACACCCGCAGAAACCAGAAAGCCCCGAGCCAAACCTCACGTCTGCAAAAATTAATCCGGCACAGGCTGTGGCACACAACAGAAGCAAACCCAGAGAGTCCGTGGGACTCTGGAAGCGGCGCCCACCAGAGGAACTGCTGACCCGAACGGCCTCAAAATCAAGAGACTGAGCCCCGCATTTCTGACTTTGAGAGGTTGTTCAGAAATGAGCCGCAGCCTTGGACTGCCTCCACCCAGAGGGACGTGCAGACAGACGGCAGGCGCAGGCCAACAGTCTGGCCATCAGCCCGGAGGGAAAGGCGCCACCCGCAGCCGCAGTGAGCTGCCTCTCCCCGTGTCGGCACGGCTGCGGAAGATACGCCGACGATAGCACCAGGGCAGGGCCACTGGCGGGAGCCGGCACGCACTGGGCACGTGGGATTCAGAGGCGGCGCTGGGACAAGCAGCTCAGTGCTGGCACCCCCTGGGTCAGGGGCCAGCTCAGGCTTCCCACCAACAGACGCGGGAGGCAGCAGCAGTCGCTCAGGTACTGGATTCCCGTCCATGGACCGAGTCCCCAACCCCGGGCTTCTGGGGCATAGAACAGTACCTGGGAGCTCGCTCGCTCGCTCGCTCTCTCTCTTTCTCTCTGCCTCTCACGTAGATAAATAATTTTAAAATAAAAAGTTTATTTTGGTGCAAAAAAATTTGGAAGTCGCATGTGTTTTTAATGATGCGTATTTCCCATGAATCTCTGATAACGTCTTCCACGGGTGAGAGCTAACTGCTAGCAACAGCCCGACGTCCTCAGGTGGACGAATGGATTAGACAGCCACGTGAGGGCTGGCCCTGTGGCGCAGAGGGTGAAGCCACCACCCGCAGTGCCAGCGTCTCGTGTGGCCTAACAAGAGGATTAAAGAGCCCTCTAACTCTGCCTTTCAGATAACTAAATGAACGCAGAGGCTGCCAGTCAGCCCCATACAACAGAGCGGGTGACACGGAGTGACGAGAGGCGGCCCTGAGAGGTGGCACGCCGTGCTGTCCACCGCCACTCTGCGGGAGCCGGGGTCAGGAGGGTGTGCTGACGGAGGGGTGACCCAGGCCGCATCTGGGAAGTGATGGGACCATCCTGAGTGCTGCCCATGGGGGTCAGTACCCAGACCACCACGTCCCCGCACTTCCTCCTGGACTCTGGGCTGCGCCGTGGGGCTCCCGCACTCAGTCCCGGTGCTGGGTCGGCGCCCTCCCCGGCCTCGGCACCATGCACTCCAGGGGTTCTGCGGGGCTGACAGGTCAGTGGGCAGTGCCAGCAACACACCAGCAACGCTGCCCACGCTGACGAGATGGAGCCCGAGGCCAGGCAGGCTTCAGGGAGACGGAGAAGGGAACGGAACGGGGACCAGTCACAGCCCGGCTGTGTCCCAGCGCAGCGTCCGAAACGCAAGCACGAACTGCAGGCAAATCCATGGCAGGCTCCCTGGGAGGCACAGCTCAGGCAGGGCAGGCAGAACACCAGCCCCGGGGGAGCAGGCTCCTGCCACTACCAAGCGCCCCGAGTCGCCAGGAATTGGACAATCGGTGCGCTGCCGGCGAGGCACAGCGGCGCTCAGAGAGGAGCTGTCACTAACCGTGTGCCTCCACCCTCCTCTATTTAACAACCAACTCCGGCGTTAGAAGAACACACCTAAGACCATGCCGGGCAACCCGATCCGGGGGCGGACCCTCAGAAGACGTGAAGCAGCCGCACCGATCCCGCCCAGGCGCACAGAGGACGAAGCTGGACACGGTCCGGAGAAACAGACTCAACAGGCAAGGCAGACGCTTCGGCCCTTGCCCTCCACGCCCCGAAGTCCCAGTGCGTTCTAATGAATTCCAGGCCTTCCGCTCGTCTCTCCTGGGACGTGCAACAAGGGAAGGCCCAGTGTTCATTTTTGAGGCCAGAAAAATGAAACCGAAGCACGATTTACAAACTCGGACAAAAGCAGAGGCTGCAGACCGTCCCTGGCTCCAACAATGCCGCGCGGGCGGAGGTGACCGAATCCCGCTGCGCCAGGACGGCGGTCAGAGCGCAGAGCCCAGCGCTTAGAAACCGCACTTCCTGTTCCTCATATGACTCCGAGGAAGGAAAATGCAGGTGCTAAAAACACCCAGCGTGTTCTGCAGGAATTTCTGCGTCTAGCCCGGCACAGACTCCCTCTGGCATAGAGACGAGCAGGCACTTAGCACGGCGAACCCACACGCACCGCCCCAAAGCAAGCACCAGCACGTGCCCCCCGACCACGCTCCCGGCTCCCGGCTTCAGCCCCGCCCAGCCCTGGCCGTTGCAGGCCGCTGGGGAGAGGAACAGCAAATGGGACTTCTCCGTCTCTCTGCCTTTCAAGTAAAAATTGATGGAGCTATTTCGGAGTTGGCCAGTCGACGCCGTCACAGCCGCTGCAAATCCGCTGTGGCCTGGCCAGCGCGTCGCCGTGCAGTCAGACCAGACCTGGCCTCGCCCGGCAGGGCTGACCTGTCTCACCACGCACTCATGCTCCTTTTTAACTGCTTAACTGCTGGGGGGAAAACAGCAGCCCCGCTGGCACCATGGGCCATTTGTCTAACCTCTTCCTTCCAGCACTTTCTGGGGGCCCCGTCGGTCTGGCGGGGAGACCTCTTGTCCTTACCCTGCCTTCTTCCGGATCACGGAAGACCCAGAGTTCCCATCTTCAGCAGAGCATGCCGGTCCCTCAGGCCCAGGCCTGGCACCATTTGCCAGGGCCGACGGCCCCAGCCAGGTGTGTGTGCTCCCGCGAGAGAAGTGCCCCGCAGGGCAGCCTCCTTCCCGGGGTGAGCACCGTCCTGGGAGGCAGTGGGGGGCTCTCTGCAGCCTGCACTCCCGTTAGAACGAGGTGGGGAAGGCACGCTGCTGCCACAGCAGCCGTCAACAGAGGCGGCCGCCAGCGGTGGTCAGGTTCACACGCCGCGGCCTGCGGTGAGGTATTTAATCATAGATACACACATGTATATGTAACTCCAAACCAGCCTGACGCAGGGCTCTGGTCCTCTGGGTGTAGAATCCTCATTCTCCCTGTGATCGGGCAGACGACACGACGTACCCAGGCACTTAGAAAACCCGGCTTCAGGAGCGCAGTCCGTGCTGACGGGTCCCTGCCGTCACCTGCAGCCCACGCACCGAGCGCACGCTTCCCTTCTACACCGGCAGGCGGGAGCTCTGATGAGCCTCCGGCCCGGTTTCCTGGGCTCTGCCCCGGTAAGTCCATGAGAAAAGGCCCTGCTCATCGCCCAAGACCAGAGCGAGAGGCGTGCGGGTGGCTTAGAGCTGACCCAGTGCGCGTGTGACTCGCGGGGCCTGCAGAGGTGGGGGGAGGCCCAGCACACACCCCGCCCCTTAGCCTCTCGGGAACAGTGGCGCTTGTTCACACGCGGTCTGCACGGTCCACTTCCCCACGACTCCCACAAGTGGTGAGACGGTGCGCCAGGGCTGGGGGCCCGGCTCCGTGCGTGCGCATCAGCCGCAGCGCCGGGGACACAGCACCGCAGCAGCAGACACAGAACCGCGCTCTGCGGCGCCGCAGGTCGACCTCCTTTGGCTTTTGGCCGCAGCACAGGTTCTGTAACCACAGCTGACTGCAGGACCATGGTGACACGGCCCTGCCGAGGGCCCGGGTTACGGAGACCGTGGCCCTCTGTGTCACACGCTGTCCCCACTGGGTGTGTACAAGCACACGTCCTGCAGGGATCTCAGGCTGCCGGAGCTGTCTGCAAAGCTGTCCAGGGTCCCGTCCAGTCGAGAAGAACCATCGAGGCACGCTTCCACCAGAACGGCTCCGGGCGCAGGAACCGTCAGCAGGTGCAGCCCCGCCGACAGGCCCCTCCCAGCCGCTGCGTCCTGGCCTTCACTGATAGGAAGCGCAGCGGAAGGTCCAGCTGCTACAGGGACACTGGGACCTCTTGGGGACACTCGAGTGGCTCCCGCGGGGTCTTTCTTGACGCCAGGTGTGCGCTGATGGAGCACGTTCAGGACGGCCCAGACGTGACCCTGGGGGCCACGTTCAAGTTAAAGCAGTGCGGGAGGAGGAGAGGGTCCGCGGACAGGTGCACGGTCCCAGGAGTCCACGCGCAGCTCCACGCAGGCCCCCTCACTGGTCATCCTCGGGGACTTGGCGGAGCCCCTCGCTGTGGCGGGCTCGCCCAGTGATCTCCAGCAGTGCCTGGGCCTCGGGGTCCACGTCCAGGATGCTCTTCTTGCTCTGGGCCTTGGGAGGAAGAGGGGAAGGGGTGACGGGGCCGGGCCAGGCACACAGAGAGGAGCAGCTCCCCGAGGACCCGGGACAAGCAGTGACTCCTGTGAGCCCTCCAGCTTCGCTGTCTGGCATCACCGCCTAGGCCCTGCCCACAGCCAGATGCCATCATGGGGAGGGGTCCAGCGAGAACTCAGCTGCAGGACCAGAGAGGCCCTGGACCCCGGCACGGAGAGCCTACGCCTTGCCTACTCTGCCCAGCCATTCTAAGTACCCAGCATGCCATGCAACCGCAGCTGCCAGAAACCAACCCAACACAAAGCTGTTCCAGATGGAGGAACCAAAGGGGTGAAGCCCGCAGAGGTGACAACCCCCCCCACCCAGGGTCCCTGCGCCACTCACCAGCTGCAACTCCTCGGGGTCCCCGACTGCCCACACCTCCATCTTATCAAACCGGAAGTCCTCCTGGGCCGACAGCTGCGGGCTGCTGTACGTGGTGCACGTGGGCTTGGCTTTGCTGTGTCCCTTCCCAAAATCGGTGTCCACCCAAAGCCCAAAGTAGTGGTGCTGCCCGCCCATGCCCTGCAGAGGAAGTCGGGACAGCACCGGGTCGGCCGCTGCGCCAGGCTGCACGCGGCAGGCGCCCGGGCCTGCGTCTCGCCTTCACGCGTTCCTCTCTGCCTTACCATGAAGGGGCCAGCCGGCTGCAGCGTGGTGACCACAGCAGCCACGGCTGGCGGCCCACGCCCACCTGGGACTGTTTCCCGGGGCCTGTGCTGGCTTGAGGCACAGTGAGAGCCAAGAATACGAATGCACGGGAGTGTCAGGGCCCATACGTAGGCCCAGACCACGAATCCAAGAGAAAAGACGGACACGCCACTGATGTGGGCCAGCCGCCCCCTGCCCCCAGCAGGTCCTCTCATCCTCACACAGGCCGAAGTGAGCTCAGGGCATGCAGGTCACACACCCGGAGCTCCTGGCTGCAAGCACAGAAAACGGAAGTGGACCTGGAGGGGTGACCCCCACACCGCTCAGCTCAGCTCCGGCCGCTGGGGACACGTGAGCAGCTTTGACTCTCCCTCCCCAAGCGTGCACGTGGGCACCTTCAAGCCCTCTGTCGCTTGGCCCATGACCGGGCACCTCAGGGCTCTGCTCGGAGGCCAGAGCCCCCACCCTCTCTGGGAGGTGGCCTCAGGTAGCCGGGCCACATCCTCCTCGCTCCCGTGGCAGCAGCCTGGGAACCCTGGTGTCTACAGGGGCCCGGCGTCCCCTGCCTGTGGCTCTGCAAGGCTGGGGTGCCAGGTTCCCTAGAGGCACTTTGTGGGCAGAAGCAGAGAAGAGGGGTCGCGGGCGTCAGCAGCCTGTGCCCCAGCCCCTGCCTGTCCCCTCTCCCTGCAGAGGCCCAGCCGAGCCCTGGGAGCCCCCTCTGCAGCCTCAAGAGCTACCCAGAGACCACCCCAGCAGTCCAGGGACCCCAGCCCAGGACAGCCCCACCATGGTTCATTCCCCAGGGCGGGACAGGGCAGTGGTGTCTGGTGACAGTCTGCCGCTGGCCACAAACCAATTCTATGAGACAGGAGAGGGCCATGTCCGCCACCTGCACACAAAGCCCTGAGGGGCCCAGCAGAGACCACGCCCCTCCCTGCGGGATGCCCGGCCCTGGCCACCACGCTCCCGGCTCTGCGTGCCACGCGCCCAGCGCCCGGCCCTTACCAGTCCGTTGGGGATGGTCTGCTGGCCATGGTTGAGGTACATGTAGTGGTCGTTGTAGCCCGTGTGCGTGTACACGGCCATGCTGGGGCAGAGAGAGAACAGGAAGCACCTGCTGTCCCCTGAAAGTGACCAGAGAGCGGCACACATGGGGTCTGCGTGGGGCCCATGTAGAGCTCTGACCTGCAGCCCAGGGGCCAAGACCCAGAGACCCCGTCGCCCCTCCCCCAGGCCCACCCTGAACCCGCCGCACACCCTCCCTCAGCCCCACGGATGGGGGGAGGTGGAGGTGGGGGCAGGCGTTGGAGTGGCGCCACTAGGGACAGTGGCGTCTCTTACGCGGATAGCATTGAGCTCTGGCTAGGGAAACGGAGATCAGAACTCCGCCCTCTGTGCCTGGATCAGTTCAGGCCGACCAAGGCCATGATGCTGGGGAAAGCACATCTCTACCTTCCCAGGGGGCAGCAGGCTCAGGCAGGCCATGGCACTGCCTCGGGCTGTCCCCAACCCCCCACCCAGAAGGAGAGAACCTCCAGGCGCAGAGCTGCCCCGAGGCCCCCAACCTGTGGGAAGGGGGTGGGGGAGGGGCCGCCCGCCTTCCTCCGAGGCACAGGTGTGGGCACACGGGCTGTGGAGGAAAAGGTGCCAGCCGAAGCCGGGCCGTGCCCAGGGTCTGCAGTCTCGGGATCCCCCCCTGTCCTGAGCTCACTCAGCACCAGGGACCCCACGAGGGCTGCCTTCCAGAGTGAGCCGAGCTCCTGGCCCAGGGACTGCCTGCCCAATGCTTCTGGGTACTACGCGCCAGGGCAGGGCAGGGCAGGCTGTGCAGCCCCGCGGGGGAGGCCGTGCCCAGGGAGGGAAGGAAGTCACGGGCCGCAGACAGGGCATGGGTGCGGGCAGCACAGAGCAAACAGGTACTGAGGCCAGAGCGGCCTGCACAGGCAGTCAGGGCTGAGCCCGCTAGAGGGGCCTGCATGCCCGTGACCCCGAATCCACCAAGATCCACTAGGGGGCAGCCAGCGCTCCGTGGCCAGGGGCAGGAGTCCTGGAGGCAGCCGTCAGCCAGCACCCGGGTCAGGAAGGCGTCCTGAGACACAGCCACCGGGCAAGAGCCACTCCACCGCGGGAGGACCCACCCAGGGCCCGGCCTGGAGCGCGGCAGGAACACGGGGGCCCTTCTGTCCTACACGGGGTTGGAGTATGGGGCTGGGGTGCGGACAGCAAACACCAGGGGCTCAACCAGGGCCCAGCAAGAGCAGGGCCTCCCCCCACGAGGCACAGGACGAGGACAGCCCCACCCAGGGCACTGGCATCGCTGCTGTCCCAGAGCTGTTGTCTGACCCAAAGCCGCTGGGGCCCTGGGCTGGGTGAGGTCAGGGCAGACTGTGGGCCCCACGTCCAGGCCTCCCCCACCGGGGTCTGCTCGCCACGGGCAAGGCCACGTGCAGGGCCGACGCTGCCCACGCAGCCGGCGGCTCCTCCCACCACACGGTTTACTGTTCCTGCAGGGCTAGCAACCCGTGCCCCGGGAGTTCGGCACCGCGCCAGGGCCACGGCAGGGCTCCAGCTCCCACCGGCTCAACCCGACCTCGGGTCTGCACCACAGAGAACACGACCGAAAAGGAAGCAGCGGCTGGCCGCTGAGCTGCTCAGGGTGCGGACGCCGGATACCAGAGGCGATTTCCAGGACGAGCGGAGAGGACCCCAAGGCCAGGGACTGGCAGCCCCTGTGGTGCGAGGCTGCCCTCTACTGGAATCCCCAGCCCACGCCTCAGAAGAGAACTCCAGGGAACACTTGTTAAGAAAACTTCAAGACCCAGCAGTGGAATCTCAAGTTACAGGAAGATGCTGACGAACCCGGATCCCTGATCCCTGATCCCTGATCCCTGGGGGTTCTCACAGCCTGCTGGGGGGGGGGGGGGCAGGCAGCTGCACTCGGCCCTAAGCCTGGGTGCTGGGTGGCCACGCTGGAGGGGAGGGGCCGCGGCAGGCCTGGGAATGCTGTTAAGGACCCTCAGCTGGCATCTGAGAACCTGGATCTGGGGAGAGTCCCTGCCATCCCTGGAACTGAACAGCCCAGAGATAATTCAAGCCCTGAAATAATGGGCCCCAGGCGACCAAGCACCCACCCCTCCTGCACCAGCTGCTTCCAGCCAGCCCTGCAGGCGCTCCAGAGTGGGGGCCCCCAGACAAGGAGCAAAGAGCTTCCGCATCCCCACGCGGCCACACAGCCAGAAAGGCCACAGCGGCAAAGCACTCGCACACAGCTCCCAGGGAAGGACGCCTGCCGGCAGCACCCGTCCATTTACCACCATCGGGCTTCCGCGTCCTCACCCGAGCACTGCCAGGGTCCAGCCCGCGACCCCAGACGTGAGAGACGCCGGGAAAGCAACATCCGCGTCCGGAAGCGGCCGGCGAGGCTGGAGCCCCCGCCCGCAGTCAGCGCAGCTCCCTGCCGGCCCCCAGGTCTTACCTTGGAACTGAGGCTTGACCTCCCACGAGCACGAGGCGAAGCCCCCGAACACGTGGCCGTCGTGGTCCTCCAGGACAGCCACGCAGGGCCCACGCTGGGTGACGCGCCCGCAGAGCTGGGAGAAGCTGTGCCCGTGAATCTCGGCCGAGAAGAGCAGCCGCCAGCGGCGCTGCCACTCGCGGGGCAGGTGGGAGTTGACGTAGATGACCGACAGGACGTCCAGCACGCTCTCGACCTCGCGCCCCTGCTCCACGAGGCGCTCGGGGACCAGCGTGGCCAGATGGAGCGAGGAGCAGAGGACGAGAAGGCCTTTATGCACGACCACGCTCAGGAACGTGGCCACGTGGGGGACCCTGGACACCCAGTCCTGGATCGCGGCTTGGTCACACTCGCAGTCCAGCCACTGAGGGCTCAGAAATGCCTCGCCACCTGTCGGGGGGGGGGTCAGTGTTAGCTGGGCTGCCGGGCACTGCTACCCGCACCTGTGCTGGCCACAGGTCAGGAACCACAGGGCCCTGGCGACGGAGTCCCGGCACAGTGGCCGGCCTGCAGTGAGATGCGCTCCAAATGTGAAATGCACACCCGAATGCAAAGACTCGCGTTGGAAATGGGGATGGATGGACAGCAGCTCTGTGTTTTTTTTTTTTTTTAATATCAATTACATGTTAACAGTTTGGAGGGAGACGCATTAAAGTTAATCTCACTCATTTCTACTATTTTCACGTGGCTACTGGCAAGCCGCAAGAGCCCCTCCCAGGGGAACCCCTCCGGGACCCCCCTCAGGGGGTCCCCCCGGGGGGGATCCCCCCCACAGGAGCCGCCGCCTTCTGGGGCGGGGGGGGGGGGGGGGGCTCGAAGTGCACGGCTCCTCGCACGCGGCGGGCTGTGGGCCGCCCACTCACGGGGTCCCCAGCTCGCCTGGGAAAGTGAGTTTCATTAGCTACAAATTGCACGTGCTTTTCAAGCCCACCTGCCACCCCCTTGGCCGTGTCTCAGCCCAGCGAGAACAGGGCGACATCAGCACTCCAACAGCCCCGGCCGCCCCCGTGGGAGTGGGGGCGACACGAGGACCCAGCCCGTGTGGCTGCCGCTTGGATCTCAGGCTCTCGCAGACACGGGACGGCTCAGGGACGGCTCCTGCTGCCCTCAGCCCACGGGGACTCTGGCTCTCGGCGCTGACGCCCCTCGAACCCAGGCCCAGGCACTAAGCGGACAGGGACCTGGCCACCGAGTCTCGCCTCCCAGCCGCCGAGCTGTCTCACACCTGCCAGCCCAGCCCCGTCTCCCAGATGCCTCCCGTCTCTGGCTGGGCCATCCCGTGGCCGAGTTCTTTCCGTCTTTGTGATTTGTTTTAAGCACCGACCTACACTAATGAGAGTAGCCACCCACAGTGCAAACCCCGGATACTCATCTAGTTTTATTCTGTCCAAGTTCCAAATTCCTCACCTAAATGTTTGAAATATAACTTACTTTCACATGGTGCTTTAAAAATCTGGCTTTATATTAAAATACATTTATAAAATAAGTTAACTGTGCAGAGACCTGCCAAAATGTATTTTTAGAATTCCAAATATATTTAAATATACACTTGTCCTCCTCTGAGAGCAAACGGATTCTTCCTCCACTGCATGCTGAATAAGACGCCATATTTTAGGCCTCAGCAAATTTTAAAAGACTGAAAACCGACAAAGCTTGTTCTAATGCAAGAAAGTTATAAATCGATAACAGAGGCAATTTGAGAAAAATCTCAGGCATGAAAAATTGAGCAGCACACTTCTAAACAGCCAGAAGCCCCAGTAACACCGTGAGGGCATCAGTTACACAGTGACGGAGAACGGGAACACGGCTGAGACGCGCGCGATGCGGCTCACGCAGGGCTCAGAGGAAATTTACAGCCGTAAAGTGAAAAAGAAAGGCGACCTCGGGCTGATGACCTCAACTTGCACTTTAAGAACTAGGGGGACAACAACTAGAACAAGGGCCGGTGCTGCGGTACAGCAGGTAAAGCCGCCGCTGCCAGCATCCCCTATGGACACCGGTTTGAGTCCCGGCTGCTCCACTTGCAGTCCAGCTCCCTGCTAATGCACCTGGGAAAGCAGAGGAAGATGGCCCAAGTGTTTGGGCCCCTGCGCCCCTGTGGAAGACCCCGAAGAAGCTCCTGGCTCCTGGCTTTAGTGTGACCCAGCTCCGCCCACTGGGGCCATTTGGGGAGTGAACCAACAAATGGTAGATAGACCTCTCTTTCTCTCTCTCTACCTCCCTCCCTCCCCTCCACCTCCTCCCTCAGTAACTCTGCCTTTCAAAAAAAAAAAAGGTAAAACACAAACATTAAAAAAAAAAAAAAAAACAGACAACCAAATCAAATCAAATTGAAAGCAAGCAGAAGGCAGGAAATAAAAGGCCAAAAGAGGAGAAATCAAGAGAAAAACCAGTAAGAGCCAAAACTCCTTCTTTGAAAAGACAAGAACACACTGAGGAACCTTTTGTTCCACCAACCAAGGCGGAAACGGAGGTGGAGACACTGCTACTGCTCCTGTGGAGACGGGGAGATGGAGATGGGGGGACGGAGACGGGGAGAAGACGGGGGGATGGAGACAGGGAGACGGGGAGACGGAGACGGGGAGACGGGGAGATGGGGGGACGGAGACGGGGAGAAGACGGGGGGATGGAGACAGGGAGACGGGGAGACGACAGGGAGATGGAGATGGGGAGACGGAGACGGGGAGATGGGGGGACGGAGACGGGGAGACGGGGAGACGGGGAGATGGAGAGACGATGGGGAGATGGGGAGACGGAGATGGGGGGACGGAGACGGGGAGATGGGGGGATGGAGAGACGATGGGGAGACGGGGAGACGGAGATGGGGGGACGGAGACGGGGAGATGGGGGGACGGAGACGGGGAGATGGGGAGATGGAGAGACGATGGGGAGACGGGGAGACGGAGATGGGGGGACGGAGACGGGGAGATGGGGGGACGGGGAGACGGGGAGACGGAGATGGGGGGATGGAGATGGGGAGACGACAGGGAGACGGAGACTGGGAGACAGAGATGGGGACACACCAGAACAGGGGCCGAGCAGGGCGGGGGGGCTGACACCTGCCCGCGGGAGCGGTGGCCGGGGCCAGGCCGGGGCCCACTTGCCTGGAAGCTTCAGCTCAGAGAGCAGCCGTGCAGCCAGCGCCCGGACCCTGGGCGAGGCCCCCGAGGCCTCCTTCGCCGACCAGCCTCTCAGCTCCTGCCTGTGCGCCAGCACGTGCGCCACAGAGCCCACCAGGTCCTCTGTGAACTTCAAGAGCAACACTCGGTGTCAGCCAGCCAGCGGCGGCAGGAGTCCCGGCACCGCAGCACAGCCCGGCAGTCTCTCAGACAGAGCCATGGGAAACACGCTGCCCAGCGCACAAGGCCATTGGTTCCAACCAGGCACCCTGCGGGCTTCCAGGCCCATCAGCCGTGCAGTGTGGGGTTCCCCACGGTGGGTGTCCCCGCCACTCCACCATCAGCCGCGCAGCAGTCCCAGGTCCCCCCGCTCCACCCCAACCCGGGGTCTGCTCAGGAGGGGGGGGTCCAGCAGTCCCAGGTCCCCCCCACCTCCACCCCCCCCCCGGGGTCTGCTCAGGAAACCTGCCCGGGGCTGCAGCCTGCCCACCTTGAGGATGTCTCGGGCCCTCACGGGACCGCCTGCCTCAGACACCATCTTCAGGATCATGGCGCTCTTTTCCTCGGAGTCTCCCTTCAACAGGTGCGACAGGGACACGGTGAACTGCTCCTGGGAGACGTGCTGGCCGGGCGCCTGCGCCTTCCCGGCCAGGTCAACCCTGCGCATGCCCTCGTACAGCCTGGTCACCATCCCTGCGGGCAGCGCTTCCCCGACGTGGCTCTGTCGGAGACAAGGCCGGACAGGAAGGCAGGGTCAAGTCAGCAGGGCCGAGAAACAAGCCTGTCTCACACCCCCGAGGGCCTCCCCGCCCCCACTGCAGGGCCGCACACTCTCCAAGGACCTCCCAGAAGCAGCCTGGTCAGGCCCACCTGGGCCACGGGAGCCTTCCCGCTGCTGCCGTCCTGCCCTGCGCACTGTCCACTCTCCCCGCGTGGCCGTGGCCGTGTCCCTCCGGCCTCTGCCATCACCTACGCATCACACCTTCGTTCCGGGTCCCGACAGCCGCCGTGCGCGGGTCTGCATGTGTCGGCAGCCGCGCCACGCGTCCCTGTACAGCTGTGGGGTCCCCCAGGCGTTCCCAAATGCTTGCCCGTGCTTCTGCTGCTTACCCGAGTGCTCTAGGCTCCGCGCGCATCTTCATGAATTTGTATGTTTCCAGCTGTTTGTACAGAAAGGCGGGCTTCCTTACTTACTCATTAGAAAGGCAGAGAGGTAGAGACAGGTCTTCACCTGCCAGGTCGCTCCCCTCCAAACCCTGCAAGCGCCCGGCCTGGGCCAAGCTGGCGCCAGGAGCGAGGAGCTCCACCCAGGTCTCCAGTGTGAGTGCAGGGACCCAGTGCGGGAGGCATCCCTGTGGACCCCACCCCAGGGTGCACCAGCAGGGAGCTGGACCGGAGGCAAAGGCGGGACTCGATCCAGGCGCTCGAGTGCGGGGTGCGTCTCCCTCTTCCCAAGTCTGACCCTCCTAACGCCTTGTCCGTGACCTTCTGTGAATACTGTTTTCCTTTTTGACTCCAGCATGAAATCTGATTTGAGGTGGGATTACAAGCAATGGAGGGAGGGGCCGGCGCCGTGGCTCACTTGGTTAATCCTCCACCTGCGGCGCCGGCATCCCATATGGGCGCTGGGTTCTAGGCCCGGTTGCTCCTCTTCCAGTCCAGCTCTCTGCTGTGGCCCAGGAGGGCAGTGGAGGATGGCCCAAGTGCTTGGGCCCTGCACCTGCATAGGAGACCAGGAGGAAACACCTGGCTCCTGGCTTTGGATCGGCGCAGCGCTAGCCATGACGGCCATTTTGGGGGGGGTGAACCAATGGAAGGAAGACCTTTCTCTCTGTCTCTCTCTCTCACTGTCTGTAACTCTATTTGTCAAAAAATAAATTGAAAAAAAAAAAAAGTCACGGGAGCCAGACAGGCTCTATTAAAAAAAAAAAAACAAGTAACGGGGGGAGAGTGCACACTGTGAACCCATCACAGACTGCCAGGGCGAGGGCCGAGAGCCGGATTCTGACGCAGCGCCATGCAGGCCGCCTGACGTCAACGCCGCAGTCCCTGTAAGGCAGCGCCGCTCGGTGCCTCTGAGCTTCCCCCAGAGCGCAGCCTCCAGTCCCTCCCAGGGGGGCCCGAATCCGGCGCTCAGGTCCCTGACCAATGTTTAACCACCTTTATCTGATGATGCCGGAACAACGCGGCCTCCCATTCCACACTGCAGTCACCTGTCTGCTTCCGCTGGCTCCAGCCCAGCCCAGCCCCGGCCAACTGGGGCAGACACACAGGCACGCACCACGCATGTATCACCCCACCCCCACCCCAGGGCTGTGACCGCCGCCACACACAGCCCCTCCCGAGAGTTCCAGAGGAGGCTGGCAGGAAGTCCTCACGGCTGGGGCCCTCCCCACTTCCCAGCCAAGCCTGTCACTCTACCTGGGTCCCACCTCATACCCTAAGAGCCCCCAAGGGACAGGGCAAAGGGCGAGGCAATGGCTGGTTTTAACTCCTCCAGTGACGCCGAGCTCGGAGCTCCACTGTTCTGCTTGGAGCTCTGTGACGCCCCTCAGCCATCAACACCACCGGCACAGGCGAAGGTGCCCTTGAGGCGTCCTGGGCATCGGACCCGAGTGACGCAGGCCGTCCCCTCCTGCACGCGGTGCCCAGAGGTGGGGCACAGCCTGGCCCCTGGTGTCAGCCTCAAGATGGCAGCGTTCCCAGCACAGCATGCGAGTTGCTCACGGTCAGTCCCAGCTCCCTCTTAATGCAGATGAGGCCCTCCAGGGATTCTTCTCAGAGTCATGGGTTTCATGTGAAAGGCGGGGGGGGGGGGGGGGGGGAAGAGAGGGAGAGGGAGGGAGGGAGGGAAGGAGGGAGAGAGGGAGAGAGGGAGAGGGAGGGAGAAAGAGAGAGGGAGGGAGGGAGAGAGGGGGAGGGGGAGGAGGGGAAAGAGGGAGAGAGAGAGAGGGAGGGAGGGAGAGAGGGGGAGGGGGAGGAGGGGAAAGAGGGAGAGAGAGAGAGGGAGGGAGGGAGGGAGGGAGCTCTGTCTTCCATCCACTGGGTCACTCCCCACATGGCCGCAATGGCTGGAGCTGGGCTGATCCAAAGTCAGGAGCCAGGAGCTTCTTCCCGGTCTCTCACGCAGATGCGCAGGGGCGCAAGGACCTGGACGATCTCCACTGCCCTCCCAGGCCACTGCAGAGAGCCAGATTGGAAGAGAGGCAGCCAGGACTCAATCCAGTGCCCCTGTGTGATGCCGGCACTGCAGGCAGTAGCCTTACCCACTATGTCACAGCACTGGACCCACTACTGATTTTAAAAAGGAAGGTTGGGGCCAGTGCTGTAGTACAGGAAGTTAAGCCACAGCCGGCAGTGCCAGCACCCCAAATGGGCACTGGTTTGTGTCCCGGCTGCTCCACTTCTGCTCCAGCTCTCTGCTGTAGCCTGGGAAAGCAGCAGATGATGGCCCAAGTCCCTGGACCCCTGGACCCATGTGGGAGACCTGGAAGAAGCTCCTGGCTTCAACCTGGAGCAGGCCTGGCTATTGCTGCCACTTGGGGAGTGAACCAGTGGATGGAGGATCTGTGTGTGTGTGTGTGTGTGTGTGTGTGTGTGACTCCTTCTCTCTCTGTAAATCTAATTTTCAAATAAAAAAATAAATTTTTTAAAATAAATCTTTTTGTAAAAAAGGAGGGAGGAGGGTTGGGGCTGGCGCTGTGGCGCAGTGGGTTAACACCCTGGCCTGAAGCTTCAGCATCCCATATGGGGGCCGGTTTGTGACCCGGCTGCTCCACTTCCGATCCAGCTCTCTGCTGTGGCCTGGGAAAGCAGCAGAAGATGGTCCAAGTGCTTGGGCCCCTGCACCTGCGTGGGAGACCCAGAAGAAGCTCCTGGCTTCAGATCAGTGCAGCTCCGGCCGTTGCAGCCAACTGGGGAGTGAACCAGCGGATGGAAGACCTCTCTCTCTCTCTCTCTCTCTCTCTCTTTCTCTTTCTCTCTCTCTTTCTGCCTCTCCTCTATGTAACTGTGACTTTCAAATAAAAATAAATGAATCTTTTAAAAAAAAAAAGAGCAGTAGCTCTGTCTAAAAAAAAGGGGGGGGCTGTTTAGCTTTGGCTTTGTCTCCTGCTACTTTTCCCACCAGAACCTCAGGCAGAGCAGCCGCCTCAAGGCCACCGCATGTACTCCCCGGCCCTTTGCAGGCAGCAAACCTGCCCGCAGCCCAGTCTCAGCCCTTGGGCCACCATCTCCAGGCCCCATTCCCACTGTGCAGAAGCCGCGGCTGCCACACTTGCCTGCAGCGCCTGCAAAGAGAAGGCTCGGGCTGAGCCACCCGGGCCACTCGCCCCTGACACCAGAGCATCGAACAGCTGGTCGACCTCAGCCTGCTCCTCGGGAAGAAGCTGTGAGCGGCCCCTCGGCCCAGAGCGGCTCCTGCTGTTGCCCATCCCGTCTCCTGCCTGGTCGGACTCTGCAGAGGGAGGAGGAGCGGGGCTGGGGAGAGAAGCCAGGGTGTGATCAGCACGGAGAATAAACATGACAACCCCAAGGGCAGCTCTCGTCAACGCCACTTTACTGGGAGAGGCGGCTACACCGCATCGGAACCGTGTGCGGAACGGTGTTCCAGCGTGGTGGGTCCCACGTCCACGCAAATCCAGTGCCAAAGCCCCATCTGTCCCCCAGGACCTGCCCAGGTGCCTCACAATGGCCAAGCGACCGTTCGGGTCTATCTGAAAATCTAGCTCCCAAGCGAATGGTAACTAGGTGTTGGAGAAATCTCTCATGCGTTTAAATAAAGCGCACTGCTGGAGACACTTCTCCTTTGTGATCCTGGTCCCAGCTGCCAGCTGTGTAACCTCGGGCCAGCGACGCACACTCTCCGTGCCTCAGTCTGCTCGTCTGTAAAATGGAACAACCACGGCTCTGCCGCAGGGGGCTGTTGTGATAAATGAACACAGAGCCCAGCAGCACGCTGGGCGCTGCGGGTGCCGGCCCTGCCCTGTCTGCCTGAGCAGCGGGAGGGGCAGTGGCACTTTCTCCAGGAGGCAGCAGCGCCAGGGCCCAGGAACAAGCCTGGGGCTGTGGCCGGAATTCAGGAGGGGACCCCACCTCGTCTGGACGGCAGGGCGACCCTGGGAAGGCACCTGCGGGGCACAGACCGAGTGACAGGAAGGGGCGACTCTGAGTGACTCCTCCCTTCCCCCCTCCCCTGTCGGGTGCCACTCCTGCCCCGAGTCGCCCCCTATCCTGGGGCACAGATGGGCGGGGAGGGGCAGAGCCGGGGCCACTGGGACACAGTCGGCTCCGGTCCCCACCCGAGCCGGGCCTGCTCCCCGCCCAGCCGCCGCGTCCCGTCCAGCTCACCGCAGCCCTGGCCCCAGCACCGACCCGGTGCCGCCTTCCGGTCGGCAGCGTCAAGGATTTTCCCCCGGGAGCCGCCTCTGTCCAGGTCCCAGGCGACGGCGCTGACGGATGGTCCCTTGGCCCAATTGCGGAAGCAGAACCCTGGGGCGGAGCCCTAGCGAGAAGTCAGCCAATGGCGATGCCCTCACGGAGAGTGGGCAGGGCCCGGCAGGAGGGGGCGGAGCTGGGGACCCGCAGGGAGGAGGTGCTGGGGCCGGGTCCTGGCAGCTGCCAGAAGGGACCAGCTGGGGGCGTGGGGGAGTGCCTGGGGGCGGGGCCGTCTGGGCTGGGGACGACCGCGGAGTAGCTGGGCTACAGGAGAAGCTGGGAGAGGCTGGGGGTGTGGGGGAGGCAGGGCCTGGGCCTGCGGGAGAAGCTGGGAGAGGCTGGGGGTGGGCTTGAAGCCCACCAGGGGAGGAAGTGAGTGGGAGACCATGCTCTGGGCACCCGGCCCTGCTCTGTGATGCCCCTAACCTGGGGCCTCAGAACGCCCCCTACACACCCACAGCCTGTGCCCCACCCTCAGCTTCCCGGGGCGACCGTGGCTCACCCCTCCAGGAGCCCACACCCCCTTCGCCTTCTGATCACCCTTCAACCCCTCAAAAACCTGGTCTGGGCCCCCCGGGGAAAAAGGCCAGCGGCACTGTCAGCCCCGGCACATGCGGCTGACCAGGCCTCCGCCTCCTCCTAGCCCTCTTTCCTGGGCTTCTGGGGGTGCCCCTCGGGGTTCCGTCTCCCAGGCCTGCCCTGGAGTTCCTTCCCTCTCCCTCAGATGACACCCCTTCTCTCTTCCACCTTGGATCCCCACCATCGGCTGAGCCGACCCCGAGCACCCTAGCCTGGACCATCACGACCTGCGCTGTCCTCTAGCCTGGACCATCGTGACCTGCGCTGTCCTCTAGCCTGGACCATCGTGACCTGTGTTGTCCTCTGGCTCCTCAGGGGTGTCCAGCAGCACCTCAGCCCCCCCCCTTCCCTGCAAACCCGCCTCCCCGTGCACCCTCCCTCCGCACCCCTCAGCGCCTCCTGTGGCCGTGGCCGGGAACGGTTGCTCTAGAAGCCTCCCCAGGCTTGGACCCTGGGTCTGCTTTGCCCCTCGGATGTGCTGCAGGTCCTCGGGTGCCTGTGTCCCAGCCGGGTGGAAGTGAGGGCCCCCAACCCCCTGAACCATCTCCCACCCAGGGCCGACAGGCTACTGGGCACACCAAATCGGAGACCCCTTTCCTGTCCCCCAGAGCACAGTAGCACCAGCCAGGACCGTCAGAGTCTGCCTGGCCACTCGCCAAACTGAGATGACGGACAGACAGAAGCAGCCACTCAGCCACTGACTTCCTAGGAGCCGCACCCCCAGGACTCGCGGCCGCAGACCCAGCGAGCGCAGCAGAAACTCCCTCAGCGAGGAGGACGCCGCTCGCTCCCAGGTAGGCCTGCCGTGGCTAGTGCAGCAGCCGGGGTCTCCCACCCAGGTGTGGGGTGGCACAGGTGCACTCGGCAGGCCCGCCCTGCTCCCGCGACCCCAAGGAAGCACGGCCAGGCCCATGCTCAGTCCAGGCCAGAGGCTGGGCCTCGCACCCAGGCCCTGCTGGGAGCCCAGGAGAGCCCCGCCTCCTCGTACCACCGCCACGCCCCCCCCCCCCCGGGTCCCCCAAGACTCTGTTCCTGCGCCAGGTGAGCCTTGCAGGGTGAGACTGCAGGATCGGTCTGGGGGCGCCCTGTCGGCTGGGTCTGAGCCTGTGGGCTGCACCCTGTTCAGTGCCAGGCGCGGTGCGGGGCACATGAACCAGCAGGGAGCCAGGGGTCCCTGCCCCCAGCACACGCATCACCGAGTCCCTGCCGGGTCAGAGACTGAGGGAGTCCCTGCCGGGTCAGAGACTGAGGGAGCGCGTGGCTGGGGATCGGTGGAGGTTGGCAGGGCGAGAGGCTCCGAGGCTAAGGCAGATGGGACACAGACGCCGGCGGCCACCGCCGGGCACGGAAAGAACGCCGAGGCCATCTGCGCATCTTCTGTTCTCGTGTCAAGGTTGCCTCTCCAAACCCGCTCACACCACTAACCCCACCCCACCCCCATCAGGGAGGCCACACCCCATCTCAGAGCCCGCGGTTCAGAGAAGCGACTGTCCTGGGGCACCCCGTGGACACTGGGACTCCTGAGCCCCAGTCAAGGGCTCTGTCCGGCGGCGGGTGCACCTGCCCCGGGGGAGGAGCCTGTGTGCACTTCACAGCAGGCACCTGGTGGGGGTGGATGCCCAGCCCACAGCGGGCTCCGCCCCTGCAGGAAAGAGCTGGACCCCGCAGGACAGACTCGTTTCTGAGCAAGTCTGGAGCCTGGCGAGGCCCGATGCTCACTCC